ATCCAGGCATTTGCACTTTCAATTTAGGGTTGCTCAGTGCCACATGCAAAGAGTGAATGTGGCCTAAATAATTGTTCCCAAACAACCAAATGGTTCAGCAGTTTGTTGTCACTGGATAAATGATACAAGATGAGCCCACTGAATATTTGACAACTTTATTGCATTATTATTTTTAAAAAAATAGGATGAAGCATTTCAAAACCTTGTTAATTAACCTAGATTTAGTATCTCTCCTGACATACTTGTTTTGCTTTAAATTGGATTTATTAAATGGTTTACAGGTTATCTTAATCTACAGATTTGGTATGTCTATTATCTGGACATGGTTTTGCTATGCAGTTGTAATAATAAAAATTCTTATTCCTCAGGTTTATCCTTTAAGTTATGGATGAAGACCATTAATTAACTACTTATGATGTACTCAGTGCTGCAAAATAGTGTTTGATAAGCACATTGCCTCATTTTCCTTCAAAACAAGACAAAGCCTTTTTAAAATGTTTTTTTAACTTTAAAATAGAGTATTCAAAGTGGAGTAACTTGTATGTTGCAATGATTGTATGTTCTGTATAGAATGTCTCATGAAGTTTTTACAAAAGCACCTGGAATATCTCACTAAAAATTAAACTTTTTTCCCTGCTTTCTTTTGCATCAGTGCTTGATTTTACTAACACGTTTAGTGTCTACAATGTGCTATTGGGAATGAGAATATTCCAAAGTAACAATCTTTCCTTAAGAAGCTTACATTTTAGAGCAGTGCTGTTCAACAGAATTTTATGCAGTGATGGAAAGTTCTATATTTGTGCTGTCCAACACAGTAGTTACTAGCCACAGGCAGCTATTGAGCACTTTAAATTTGGCTAGTGCATTAAGCAACTGAATTTTTTATTCTAGTGAATTTAAATGTAAAGAGTTGCATGTTGCTAATAGCTACTGTTTTGTACAGTGCAGCTATAGTTGGAAAATGATATAAGAAACTATAAATTATGAATTTAGTTTCTTTCTTTGGGTCTTGTCACATCTTGGGTTACATTTTGGTAGCTGGTAAGAGAACCAGAACCTAAACCTTTTTAAAATTCATATTCTAACTTGAAACTAGAAGAAAACAAAATCAGTGATGAAATGAGACTGGTGCTCTTTTAACTAAGATCGTTTTCATCAAGAGAAAAATGAAGGGAGACTGGATAGTCTTGAGTTATAGGGAGAGAAGTGGACAAAGATAGTGAGAAACCAGTACCCTCATACAGAAGATGGAGTGTGAAATGGTTCATTTCTGGAGAGACAATTTAGCAGTATCAAGATTTAAAATGCACATATCCTTGAAAAGTTAATTTCCTTCCTAAGTATTTCTCTGACATATAGACTCACAAGTAAGCCAGTATTCGTTGCAACTACCATAACAAAATATAAGCAATCTGATTGTGAATTGAAGAAAGACAAGTTTGGGTGGACTTGGAGGCATTTTTTTTTTTCTCCTTTTTGGTAGCCAGGCAAAGAACTGGCTCAACAGATCTCAATTATCTCAACAAAAGAATGGACTACCAGAAATTTGAAGGCTCCACTTTTCTAACTTGCTGGGCCAGCAAACTACCATTGCTATGTGTAGTGGTCTAGATATATTCTGCATATTCCCCTGCCTGCCACAATAAATGTTATAAATATGTAGACCATTATTGGAGTTGGCTTACTTAATTACAGCCTTTTCCTTGGTATTCCAGTCCTACTGTGTCTGGCTGGGATCTCTATGGGATAAGAGCTCAGGATATCATGTGCACCATACTTCCTTGTCCAAGTTTTTCCTTATTAAACCCCATTTTACATTTATATTGCATGGTTCATGCAGTTTATACCCCTTTTGCACAAGGTCAGCACAATAGGAGACAGTTATATTGTGGTGTTTTTATGTAACCCTAAATACCCGTTAATGGATATGCTATTAATGGGAGGGTATCTGTGATATTATGAAATAAAGTCATCCAACAGCATATATAGTATATCTAAGAGTGTATGCATTTATACTTGGTTAAGTGGGGACCATGACTAGATCCCCATGCTCTTGGTGTGCCTTTCTCCTGGAATGAAAAATTGAAGAAGCCTAGGGATTGTGTCTACTTGAAGTCCATGTTCCTTAACCCATTTCTACACTAAGCACCAGATAGCCAGGACATACGCAGGTCTCTTCATGTCCATCCTATATAAAAAGACTTCAGGTGTATACGCCCCTAGGGGTGGTATTTTGTATGAAGTATGGATGCAGCTTGGATGTATAGACTGAGATGTCCACATGCATGCATGCCAGGACCCTTGCAGCAGGCTGAAGCTATTAATAAAAAGAGACCCAGGGTAGGATAGGCCAATCTAGTTCTTATGCTGTCACTTTCCAGTACATGTCCTAGGAATTTGAGAATTCCATATTTGAACCTAGATTTTTGTTACTTGAGAAAAAATATTTGTCAAAGTAGGAGAATATAACATTTTATTTGTTAGTTAGCTCTCAGCTATTTAGACACTTAAAATATGTCAGGGATGGCCTCCATTTGTACTCTTGCCCTAGACCCCTCAAATGTTAGCAATAGGTCAGGATGTTTGCATATGTGCACAGCTGAGTGCTTTTTAAAAGATGGATGTTTACTTGTAATAGAGACTGTTAACTATCAATCCTTGTACCCCTCCTTCAACTGTATTGGCTAACCAGATTAAAGCATGCAGACTGATGCTTACTGTGAGCTGAAGGCTCACAACTGACCCTCTAATGCTTGAGAAGTACTACTGGCCGGGCACGGTGGCTCACACCTGTAATCCTAGCACTCTGGGAGGCTGAGGCGGGCAGATTGCTCGAGGTCAGGAGTTCGAAACCAGCCTGAGCAAGAGCGAGACCCCCGTCTCTACTATAAATAGAAATTAACTGGCCAACTAACATATATAGAAAAAATAGCTGGGCATGGTGGCACATGCCTGTAGTCCCAGCTACTCGGGAGGCTGAGGCAGGAGGATTGCTTGAGCCAGGAGTTTGAGGTTGCTGTGAGCTAGGCTGATGCCACGGCACTCACTCTAGCCTGGGCAACAAAGTGAGACTCTGTCTAAAGAAAAAAAAAAAAAAAGAAGTACTACTGCCACCAGTTGAGTTGTATTTACCTTGAGTTAGCTGTTTGCTCCCAAACCTATTTATGCCAGTGGCAATCATTGTAATTATATACTTTAAATATATAAGCCAATGAATTGAAAAGTTACTTATTTACCTGCTACTTTTCTTCAGGAAAAAAAAAAAAGGTAAAATAACAAATTTAAAAAGTTACTTATAAGGAAAATGGGGGATTAGAGATGAAGAGCTTAAAAAACTGACAAGTTAGTTGTGTCCAAGATAATTGTAAATGATAATGGAGGATTGCCAGGGAAAAAAATTCCAAGACTCTGAATTCAGATCCTTCGCTTGTATCTTAAGTTCCTGAACACTTTACAGAAACTAGAAATTGTGGATGATGCATTATATCTTTGGTTTTTGTAAGAAAAACAAACTCCGATCAGTTGATCCATACTTAAAAAGAACTTAATTCAAATCAGAAGATTGCTCATTGCAATCCTCTGCTTAAACTGGTTGTGTGTTTTTAGGTTTATTCAGAGCAAGACTTGTTACACACTTGAAAAGTATTTACTTTTAAGAATCTGATGATAATTTTCCATTGTTCTAATTTTATAAACATACAGAAAAGTAGAGAGCTCTAATGAACCTAGATTTATCAATTGTTAACGTTTTGTCATGTTTGTGCAATCTGGTTTTGTAAGTTTTTAAATTTCACCTGTAAGTACTGCAGTATGCATCAGTAATGACTTTTTTAAAAAACACAGCCACATTTTGTTAACATTCTTAGTAAAATTAACAGTAATTCTTTACTATTATCTAATGGCTTGGTCCATACTAAAATTTCAGTTGTCTCAAAAATATTTTTATGGTTGGTGTTTAAATCGGGATCGAGACAAGGTCCACACACTACATTTGGTGGTTATGTGTCATAAGTCTTTGATTTTACATGGGTTTCCCCCACTTAAATGCCATTGATAGAAAAACTGGGGCATTTGTTTTGTAAGATATTCCCAATTCTGAATTTAGCTGATTGCTTCTCTATACCATTGATTAAATGCACGTTTGATTTTTAGGCAACAATCTTTCACAGGTGGTGCGTGTACTTTTTATCACATCAAGAAGCACATGTCTCGTCCCATACTTAGTGATATTAACAGTGAATACAGGCAGGATGCAGTGGCTCACGCCTGTAATCCTGGAACTCTGGGAGGCCAACGCAGAAAGATTGCTTGAGCTCAGGAGTTCGAGGCCAGCCTGAGCAACAGCAAGACCCCATCTCTACTAAAAACAGCCAGGACTGGTGGCGCCAGCCTATAGTCCCAGCTACTGTGGAGGCTGAGGCAGTAAGACTGAGCCCAGGAGTTTGAGGTTGTAGTGAGCTATGATGATGCCCCAGTGACAGAGTAAGGCTCTGTCTTAAAAAAAAAAAAAAAAGATAAATACAACTATAATACAACTATATCATATAATATATATTATTAATATAATATATATAATAATCAAAATTAAAAAAATTTTTTTAAGATTGATCAACGCACTCAGGTAGTGCCAGCCTAATCCATCTAGTATAAAGTTTCCCATGAACCTTCTACCTTGATTTTAGCATCTATTGATGTTACCCTTTCTATTATTTCAGTAAGAGTTGCAAAATGGTGATTTATGTATTTATTTATTTAGAGACAGGGTCGCTAAATAAATTATTTATTTAGTCTCACTCTGCCCTTGAGCTAGAGTGCAGTGGCACAATCGTAGCTCCCTGCAACCTTGAACTCCCAAGCTAAACAAGATTCTCTTGCCTCAGCCTCCTGAGTAGCTGGGACTACAGGAACATGCCACCACGCCTGGCTAATTTTTTTTTATTTTTTTGTAGCGATGGGGTCTTCCCATTGCCCAGGCTGGTCTCAAACTCCTGGGCTCAAGTGATCCTCCTGCCTTGGCTTCCTAAAGTGTTAGAATTACAGGTGTGAGCTACTGTGGCTTACCTAAGTAGGAATTCTTATAAGCGTTTTGGTTACGTTAAAACACAGTTCAGACAAGAAAGGCAAGACAAATGCTTGATGTTTTTCCCTTTATCAAGTTTCAGAATATTAAATCTTCAACGTGGCAACCTTCAATCAGGACAGAGTTTTAATTTTAAGGAGTCATTATAAACTCAGGAATTTGATGTATTTCAATCAGTAACAGCTATTTGATGCTACATTTTATCATGCTAGGTCCATCATATTAACACCTGTGTTAATGATTCCATTAGTAATTTGATAACTTCCTTCCTCTTGGGGTTACCTACTTTTTTAATTAACCTACAAAGTACTAGCTCTGAATGCATTGGATAAGAGTGATAATCTCTAGAAGTGAGAAAGACTTTATTCTTTTCCTTTTTGTATCGATAGAATTAAAAACAACACACACACAAGGCGTAGAAAACTCAAATTTTTGAGGGCAACATTTTCAGTTTCTACTGAGCTGGTAATTTTTGTAGAAAGAACTGAAAATTACAGTAATTTGTTTAGTGCTTTATAGTTTTCCAGAATTTATAACAAAATTAATTCATATCTAATCCTTAAGAATAATCTTTTGGATTCCACTATTAAAGAACCAGATCCAGAATTGTATGTGTATATTTCCAGCCTTAAACTGGAGGATAACAGTCCGCTGGATTTTGGATGTCACGAAAGCACCTGATCCTCATGAGCAATGTTAAATCCAGCTGCTATTTTCCACTCTATCCCCCAGCTCTCCTAATTGTACCCAGACCAGAATTCAAGGAGTTATTCTGGATCGGTATCTGCACAGTAAACGCACTAATAAATTATTCGTTGTTTATCTTAAGTTCGTATTTAACGGGCATTCGATATTTTATCTGGTGAATTCACACTGTGGGAAACAGCTCAGCTGGTACCTCCAGTTCATCGTCCACTCTGAAAGGTTTTCCCAAAATTGCAGATCGCCTCAGTGCGCTGCTGTAGTTGTTACCTGGGCAAGAGGTAAGTGACTAAATTCTCAAAGCAGGGAAATCGCCAGGGCTCAAAACTTGGGGCGGCAAGGAAGCAGCAGAAGTGGCAGACAAACCGAAGCCGGACTGCGCCGCTGGAACTTCCGGGCCCGACCGGACCAATATCCGCGACTCAGTGCTTGACGACCTCCTTTTGCAGCGGTGCTGTGAGTGCCGTAAAGCAGGTTTGCCGCTGCTGCCGCCGAGTGAGGTAAGAAGTGGGAGGCTCAGCTTGGTCGCTGGGGATGCATTGGCGCTTTCTGACAGGTATCGTTGGTGGCTCGGGGCCCCTTACTGGGAATCTCTCAGCATTCTGGGCACCTGCCTTCCCCTCGGCGGCGAGGCGGCCGGGGCTGGCCACAGCCTGGGCGCGCTCTCTGCTGGGCGCTCCTCAGTCAAGTCCGTGAGCATTTCGTGGTAGACGTCTGCCCTGCCAGTCCTTCCCACGCTCCTGGTCATGTCACCAGGTAAAACCCTTATCCTGGGACAGGTTCTGTTTTGGAAGGCGATCGAGATGCTTGTAGGAGCTGAGTTCGGGTAGTGATGTCTGAGCCGGGTTATGACAGCCAACTCAGAATTTTCTAGAGGATCTGTGGGGAGAGCGTTTCAGGTTGTGGGACCAAAATGTGCAAAAGCATGAAAGGAGCTGCCAGGTTTTAGCAGCACTGCATGCATATCACAGCAGTGGCTGGAGGAATGAACTCACGAGAAAGAGAAGGCAGGAATCTGGCAGGAGCTAACGTTGGGTCCCAAATGGAATGGACCTGGATGTTCTCTGTGAAGGAGTGAAGTTCTACCCTGGGCAGTGGGGAGCTACAGCAGCTTTATAGAGGGGATAATTTAATTAAACATCCCTTTTTCTCTTCTTCCGATGCTCTCCCGAGTTCAGTGTTCATTTCATTTGGATGAGAATATACTTTGTGTGCTCAATAATAGAGTGGACACTGCCAGCCATGTGGAATGGTTTCATACAGCTTTGGGGTCTGCCTTTTGTTTGCATTGTTGGAGGATCTTGAGGAAGACTGGATATGCGCAGAAGTTAGTGTTCGAAGCTTTGGGTAGGACTCGGAATAATTGGATTTATATTTCATCACTATTGCCAATTTCTCAGGTAACATGAGACAGGCCATTTTTCTCTGAGCTTCACTTTTCTTGGATGTAAAAAAAAAAAAGGACCTAGGTGATAGCTCAGATTCTTTATACCTTTGAAGATAGCAGGTTTCCAATAAATAAAAATCAGCCTATGAACAAATACAAGTGAGGGATAGAACAGTACATTAGGAATTGGGAAGAGGGAAGCCAGTAGAAAAGGCTGTGATTGAGCTGGACTCTGAGGATGAATAGGATTTGAATGATGGGAAACCTTCTCTGTTGAGCCATGGATGGAGATATAAAATGCAGGAATAGGCAATCATATTTTAGAGTCTATTTGTGGAGATATAGAGGCTAGAGGATTGTGAGGGTAGAGGATTGGGGAAGGATGGCATTGCATGATGAAGGAACTCCCAAGTGGAAAGAAAGTGCAGTATGTTCTGACAAGCAAGAAGAAAGGAATTAGGGAATGTCAAAAGAACAATACACAGGACTTGATTTCTTGGAACTAGGTGATGATATTTTAAACCTGGGTTTCTAAAAAGTGAATTTAAGTGCTGTTGGCAAAAAATGGGAATTCTGTTGAATTCCAGTGTGCAATAGTGTATTGGAATATGGTGATTCAGGCTGTAGCTCTGGTGTTGCCAATAACTAGCCTCTCAGCTGTCATTTAATTCTTCTAGATCCTGTTCTCCTGAAAGGTGATGTTGTTGAGCCAGGTAGTCTCTCTTCCCTAAAACCTGTAAAACTTGATTCTGTGAGGATGGAGAGCTACTTTTGTTCTGGAGGGGGAGAGGAAGATAGTTGGCAAAGAATAAATTGTTAATTTTGAACATGTTAACTTTGAGGTATAAGAAATAGAGTTGAAACTATAGGCAGATGCAGTGCATAGACTGTAAGTTAGGTAGTATATTCTTTTTTTATATATATAATTAAAAAAATTTTTAATGCCTGTCAAATTTAGCAGTGGGGGGTTGAATACCAACTTTAGTGACACTAATGTTAATAAATTCTGATAACCCACTACCATCGGACTAGCCAGATAGTGTATTCTTTAAAGGTGGTAGTTAAATCTTGAGAATGGATTTGCTCTGTGGGAGAAAGTAACTATAGGATGTACCCATAGATAGAAAGCTAGAGAAATTCCTGAAGGAGGCAGGTGAATCTCAGAGCTAAGAGCAAGGTCTCCTTTTAAAAAAGAGTTACCTATAATCATAGATTCTCGGGGACCAACATTATTATTGAACTAATTTAACAGCATTTATAGCAGATATTAAGCACCCATTTCTGGGTGGCAGAAAATAGATAATTCAAATAGATGTAATCTCCACTACCTTTCTAATTGTGTACCAGAAATGATATCATTTACATATTTATTTATTCAACAAATATTTATGTGTTTTAGGCACTGCTGCATCCTAGAGATATAATGATGAGCAAGATAGATGTCGTTCCTGTTCTGCCTACATGTGAAGGCCTTAGCTGCTAGGTCAGTGCTTTTCAAATTTTAATGTACATGTGAATCACCTGAGGATTTTGTTAAAATGTAGATTATGAATCACTAGAAGGTGCTGAAAATTGTGTATTTCTGAAAAGTTCCAGTGTCATGCTGATATTGCTGTTCTGTAGACCATACTTCTAAGTGAAAAGGATCTAGATTCTGCCTAGCACATGTGGCAGTCACACCACTACTAATCATCTGTTCTTCTTAAATGAAAAAATGTTATTATTTATGAAAATAATGTATACTCATTATAAAAATATTAGGAAAATATAGAAAAGCATAAGGAACAATGTAAAAATCATCCCTAATTCTCCCCACCTAAAGATAACCATTATTAAAATTTGGGCAACATCCATTTAGATTTTATATATGTACATATATTCACACTTTAATGTTGTACTAAGTACTTGATACCCCTAAGCCCTGTGTTTGATTCTATTAGCTTTATAGTTTACTGAGGTAAATACCCAAATGTCCTCGATTAAGCAATTAACTACTTGTATTCTTGAGGGGAAGATTTTACTCAAAAATAATTTGGTTTAACACCATTCTGTTACTTCAAAAGTGGGAAGATGTTAGCATAATTAAGGCTTATAACATGTGTGGGCTCTGGTAAATGAATAACCTGTTAATTGAGCCATAGGGTAAAAGAATTTTTAAAGTTTTTTTAAACTTTTCTTATTACAAAATCAATTGATGTTCACATAAGATAAATAAATAGTAAAAAAAGAAGAGAGAGAGAAAGAAAGAAAAGGACCTGTAGTCCTCCCAAACCAAAGACAACCCCTTCTATCTTTCGTCTAACCTCTCTGATCTAGATCTTTCATTTCAGCCACTCTTTTCAAAATCCTTTTATGCCATATCATTCAGAAAGGAATCACTATGTATTCATGATTTTTCTGGAGCTTCAAATGGAGAGACTAAATTTTTTTATCTTTTTATCTCCAAGTGTCAGCATGTTGTGGTAGAGATTATATGGCAAAAGATTAATAGATGAATGAGTGGTAAGCAGGTAGAGGCTCCTTAACTCCTTGTAGTCTACTCTTTACTTCCAGGCTGCTGACACTCTTATAGCAGTGAAAGGAAAGGAAATGAATAACAAGAAGGACCAGCAGTATTTTGAGAAGATTGGATAATAGTAGCTATTGCTGCTGGGCCTTTTTTGGCTTCTAAGAACAGCCAAAAAATGTTGATTTTTTTTTTTTGTCTTAACTCTGAAAACATTTGCAGAGGCATTTTTCTCTTTATGTCTCCCAATCTGCTACCTCATGTCTCTAACTATACTTATGCCTAATTACACTACCCTCTTCCTTCTGTAGTTTAGCATCCTATTTTAGTTTGCAGTTCAGAACATATTTGAAAGTCTGGTCAGTTCTTGTCCAAGAGGCTCTGATATCAAGAGAGGTGATCTATAAGGCAGGAGTTGGGAGAAGTAGAATAAAAAAGTCAGGTAGTCAGATATTCTTTCAAACAGATTCCTACCCAAGTGATTCTCAAAAAATTAGGACCAGGGAGAGGGGTGTTAGGGTAAGCCAAGTGCCAGTCCTTCATGCCAGTACCTTCAGAGAACAAATGATAAAGTAAAAGGTTAAGTGGGAAGCTGAAAGTACATTTAGTGCTGTTCTTGGCTGTAGAAAGACCCTGAGAAGTATCAGAGCTTCTCATCTTGTACCTTTTTTCATCACATTTGTGTATGACTTTTATCTACTACCAGTTTTCCCCCAACCTTTTTCATGTCTTGATACATAGTAAAATTGATAATAAAAGATAAAAGGAAGGATAAAAGAATGTGTTCTTGGCTGAAGGTACCTGTCCTTGAACTCCCAGGCTCAAGTGATCCTCCTGGCTCAGCCTCCCAAGTAAGTGGGACTACTGGTGTGTGCCACCATGCCTGCTAATTTTTAAAGTTTTTTCATAGAGACAGGGTAGGATCTTGCTATGTAACCCGGGCTCGCCTGGAAGTCCTAGCCTCAAGTGATCCTTCTGCCTCTGCCTCCCAAAGTGCTGGATTACTGGCATGAGCCACCATACTCAGCCTATGTTATTTATTTTTATATGGTTACTGTATTCCTAATGAAGAGATATTGCTAATGAAAAAGAACATTTTGGTAGTCTAATTTCCTTTGCAATTGGATTGCCTTGACATTTATAAAAAAAATAGTGAAATAAAGTTAATTAGATATCATCTTGATAATAAAAATGTAGTTAAGTTATTGATGATATTTTTGGAGGTTTATTTCATGTAAGAATTTATTGTAAACTATAGATGTCTCCAAAGAGAGAACAAGATATTTAGATTTTATGTCTGTAGGAGCTTATTTAGACCTATTATATGTTTTTTCACATTTGTTTATTTGGGCTTAGAAGAGGATGGGCCCAATCTGAATGCCACTTTAGAGTTCACTAGGAATCAATATACAATACATTGATATACTAGTTAATACAAATACAAGAAACTGAGCTGAAATCTTGAAAATGAAGGATATTCTTGTTAATCATGTGAGCTGCCCTTGTCAGAGTATAGCATCCAGAGTTGAGCATCCTAAATCTGAAAATTTGAAATCTGAAGTACTCCAAAATCCAAAATTTTTTGAGTACCATCATTATGATGAAAGGAAATGCTCACTGGAGCATCTCAGAGTTCCAGATTTGGGATGCTCAAATTAGTAAGTATAATGCAAATATTCCAAAATCCTAAAAAATCCAAAATCTAAAACACTTCTGGTCCCAAGCATTTCATGTAAGGCATACTCAACTTTTATTTGATGATTTTATTTTAGCACGGGTTAGCTGAATGTAAAAACTAATACCACCATCAATGTTGATTTATATTGTTAGTTTTCACAGTTTGGGGAGATAGAGAATAAACATGATTTATTCAGTTATCTCTGCTTAATATACATTATCTGTAGAACAGGTGGAATGTTCATGTCACTGTTGATATCATTTCTCTTAAGTAGTTTGTTGACCTTAGATAAATTCTTATAGTATTTGCTTTATATAGGCTTCAGCTCTAGAAGCTTATTTGGATTGTTTTAAAAACCCAAACCAAGACTTCTGCTTTTAAGATGGCAGAGTAAAGTCATTTGTGTCCTCTTCTATCTGAAATTACCCTGCAACAGCAACAGACAAAGGCAATTGGCTCAAAGAGCTAGAAGAAATGGTTGCACAAGAGTATATGGTGAATCATAATCTGTCAGAGCTCAGGAAAGAAAAGAGACAAAATTAGAGAAATAAAGAACACATTGGAAGGAAAATTAACTTTGAAAATTGAGTAAAGGGCATAATGACAGGCTTTTGAAAGTTAAAGTGAAATGGGAATGAAAGGAGATAAAACAAATGCTTAATTGTAGTTCTGGAAATAGAGAATTCAACATTATAACAGAAAAATATTCAAACATGTAACTTAAGAAAACTTTCCACAGAGAAATCTTTATTCTGCAGATTGGAAGGACACACAATGATTGAGGAAAAACTAATATGCTGTCATCAACATCCTTCTGTAAGCTAGTTTAAAAAACATTGGATTTCAAAGGTAAGAAATACATCCTTTGCATATCTCATTAGAAAGATCAAATTACCTGTGGGTATGGGAAATCAAATATTGTCAAAGGAATATTTAGCATTACAGGACAATGATACAAAGCCTGTAAGTCACTGGGGGAAAGGAAGTATGACTTCAAAGCCAAACTGTCAACTGACAACTATTTTTGAACAATGTAAGAACTCAAGGTAAGTAGTAACCATGAGTTCTTTTTGATAAACTGCAAAAAGATGAATATCAATCATCCAGTAGGTGAACAGAGGTGATATAGTAAAAGGATTGGCAGGGAACATTGTAGGAATAAGATCAAAATAAGTGAGATTTGTAGTTATGAAATAGAATAGAACTGTAACAAAGTAGAAATAACTAATAGAAGTCAGGATTGAAAGAACAGAGATGACAGAAGTTAGTGTGAATTTGCTGATTTCTTATTTTATAGCTGGAGAACAAAAGACTTATAAAAGCTTAGATATCAGGTAATAGAGGTGTCCGTGTATTTGAAGGAGTAAAGATAAGCACTTAAACAACTAAATATATTTAGCCAAAATCAAACAGTGCAGATGAAATAAGAAGAAATAAAACCATTTTAGATTTCTTACTGTAAAGAAATATTCAGAAATGGGATCTAAGGTGAAAGAATGAAATGTCCATCATGGCATTCTTTATACTTGCAAAACACAGAAAACATACATGGGGTATTTATAAAAACTGACCACATCCTAGATCACAAAAACTCAAAAAACAACAAAGAGCTATCATACAGATTGTTTTTCTTGAGTAGAGATTCTCAATTTCTTCTATGGAAATGATTCTCATTGTGGTCAGCAGCATCTGCATCACCTGGGAACTTGTGGGAACTGCTAACTCAGAGGTCCCACGCCAGACCTACTGAATCAGAAACTCTGGAGAAGTTCTGTCCAGTCTTTGGTGGTCAGTTCTTATAAATATCCTATTTTTGTTTTCAGTTATTTGCAATTGTATAGAATGCCATGATAAGCACTTTTGTTCTTTCATCTTTGGTCTCATATCTATTTCTGTAGGATAGAAAATTACCAGGTTAAAAAATGTCTGTGGAAATTTAGATAACTTTTTCTTTGTTCTGTTGTTGGTTATTAGAGGTGAAAAATTAAAAATAAATTTTTGTATCTTTAAAAATATCTTTTTGTTCACAGAAAACAAAATTATCTTCCTATTCTAAAAGATGAAAACGACTGGGTTACTTTCAAAAGACAACCAAGTGAGCACCGCAGACTAATGAGTAGAATCAATAAGAACGTGGTTTTGGCCCTTTTAACATTGACAAGTTCTGCATTTCTGCTGTTTCAGTTGTACTACTATAAGCACTATTTATCAACAAAGGTAAATTTTTTCTTCCTTTCTCATCATTAGACTTCATTTTAGCTGTATATTTTTTTAACACCCTTCTGCTTTGTGGTACATAAAATTAATCATAGTTATTCAAATCCTTACAGAAATATTTCTTACTGAGATTTTCATCTTTGAGAGATGTGACAAGCAATTGAAAATTGCAGTTAAATATTATTGTAATAACAAACTAAAGACAAATGTGCCAAGTTTCAGATGATGTTTATTGAAATTTTCTCATACAGTTATTTAAAAATTTTATTTTAATAAGCACATTATTTCTCATTTATATGACCTCAATGATGACTTTGTTAATATATCAAAATTAGTTTATTTTATTACAGTGCATATTTTAATTTAGTACCTACCAGGGAAGTGTAATGGTATGACTTACCTTTATCTGTATCTGTAGAAATAAAGAAGTAGAGACAATGGTTTAGAAAGGAAGAGCTTTTAAAGATCCCACAGAATATGGTTCCTTTGTGGAGTGATGAAAATATTCTGGAATTAAATAATGGTGATAGTCACACAACTCTAAACATACTAAAAATCACTGAATTGTACACTTTAACAGGGTGAATTGTATGGTATATGAATTATGTCAATAAAGCTATAATATTATAAAAAATAATCTGCTGGCTCACTAGAAATTTGCATATCCCAAACTCAATGAATTAAACAGCCCAGAAATGTAGTCTTATCTACTAATGTAGGGCCATGTTGAGCAACAAGTGGCTATATTACAGAGTTTACAGTCTCTTTTCAAGATTGAAGATTACAAAGCAGTCTGTGGTGTTTTTCTCAAACATTCCTTAGTATTAAATGATGTGGCTAAGTTGCAGAGCCTATGAGGAGAGACCAATTCTAGCTCTACCTTACTTAGTGTATTCATCCTTCTCTTCTTCCTTACCTCTTTCTCTCCAATTAACAAACCCTTACTAAGCATTTATTAGTTACCAAGTACTATGGTAGCCATTGTTGATACAATGATGGATTTCTCTTTTTCCCTGCCCTGGAGTATGCAGTTTAGTTGGGAGATGAGTTTAGGTACTTGGAGCACATTTCATTTTTAGGCTACTCTAATTGTTCTTCAGCATTCTCCCATTTATAGCTTATAGATAAAGAATGCATTCAAGGCATAAGAAACTACTTTGGGTCTTCTTTGATCTTGAAATATATTCTTCCTATTGTCTCTAGACCATCAAACATTCTTTCTTCTGTTCCTTTCAAAGTATTTTGGGGCACATCAAATGAAACCTGATAATATTTTTCTTCCTTCTGATTCTCTAGACCTGAATATTTTAAAAAATATTATTAAAAAGTAACACTTGAAATTATGATATATGTTAGATAAAGTGTGGGCACCAGAGCTGTCTATAAAACAGAAATAATAATGCTTACTTTGCAGGATTGTTGTGAGGGGTCAATGAAAATATATAATTTATATATGGAAATGTCAGACATAGTACCTTACACTTACGAGTTGCTCAATAAATACTATTATACTTTCTTATCACTTTGCCAAGATCTACAAATACTGATTGGTGTGTAGAGATGAGGTTAACAGTATGGAGCTAAACAGACAAATCCTAATTGCAAAGAGATAGCAAAGAATTTCCTATTTATTGGTGGGAATTAACTGGTTTAGAGATGTTGACCATATATACCTCACTGTCTAATAACTTAATTAACTTATCTATCAGTGTTTTCCATCTTGGATTGTTATATCATAAAATTGTAGGATTCTTAGCTCACAACTATATATGAAAAGAGGTATTTTGATGATGCTTTTTAATGATTATGAGCCAATTTTCTAGTTTGAATCTCATGCTTACCCTAAATGTAATGTTGCATGCTGAGCTTTGAGTTTACTAAAAAGTTCTTTTGTTATCTTCCTAGAATGGAGCTGGTTTATCAAAATCCAAAGGAAGCCGAATTGGATTTGATAGCACACAGTGGGTATGTACAATAAATTAAGAAGTTCCTCAGTTACAGTGTTCATTAGTTCATTTGTTTACTCTGTAAGTACATGTTGAATGATGACAATGATAATAGCTCCCTTGAAGTGGTGGAGGGTGGCCAGTAGGTAGTAGCAGGGAAGGAGCAGGCCCTTTGCCAAGTGCTTTACATGTAATATCTCATTTAATCCTTATGGAAACCTCAGGAAGACAGTACATAGGTATAATACTTATTGTTATTCTCAGTCCACTTAGATTACAGTTGGCTAATAAATGATTGAGTTCCAATTCTAACTGTCTGCCTCTAAAACCCTCATTCGCTGAGCTGTGGTGCATCCCTAAATGAGTGAATATGTGAATTAGAATAGAATATCAATAAGGGAAAATTAATGATCAGGAATAAAAATCTATTCAATATGTTTCCTTTATAAGATTAGGGGAAACTAGCAATATATATAATATATATCCTTATTTTTACAAATTTCAAAATATATTTTGTTTATAAAATTTAGAATGAAAACATTGCAGGGTTACCAATAAAAACATAACATCGTGATATATATGTATGTATGTATGTATATATATCAGGATAAATATGTGTGTGTGTGTGTATACACACACACATACATACACACCCATATTATATTATGAAAATGGCCAGATATTTTTCTTGTAGATATGCTTCAATCTTTGGCTTCTCTGTAACCAGAGATATGGAAGGCTTTAGATTAAAGTGGATTGTCACATCATTAAGTAGCGATCATTTTAGGTCATTATTGATACCAACTAGATTTGAACAACTGAAAAGTAAAGCCTGGAATATTATCAGTCTCCTCAGCTATCTAGTCTAGAAGTATTAATGTGAAATTTTAATTTATTTAAAAATAGCAAATGTTTTGCTCAATGAATTTAGGCTGGTCTGGGGAATATACTTGGAATTATTTTACCCAGTCACAGTTATAAAGATTCTAGGTTAAATAAAAAGGGGACTTTTGTACACTTCTCTCTATTCTTTGTCTATATCTCCATCCCTCCCTTAAGAAACACACACACAATGCTTGGAATAGATTTATCATCCTGTGGTTGAAGTAATTTTTTGAGATTTAAAATTCAGTATTTAACAGCTGTGAGTATGCTTGTCTGAAGGCAGTAGGGGTGATCTATAGTAGGTTTTAACTTTCTAAGATGTGATGATACTTATAGAAATGTAAATTTTTCAAGTTTGCCATTTTTAAGAGTCTCCATATACGTACTGAACAAGTTCAGAAAAAAATGTTAAAGCTGTGATAGTTTCAGTAGGATAAAAGATTTTGCTTTTCTGGATTAATCAACAACATTCTGACAACAATCTTAAATATTTTAGTAAATAGAGCAAAAATGGTACAAGTTCACTGATACATTTTAAAGATGGAATTTGTGTATAATTTAAGGCTTAAAATAACAGAGAAAAGTAGGGTGATTATATTTTTCATTCAGGGAATGATCCTTGAAGTGGGAGGAAATGACAGATTTTTTTTAAAGGGTTTATTTCCAAGGTAAATGAGCAAAATATTGAAGAGCAGCTTACTACATTCAGTGACTTCTCTTTGTACTCTAAGCTAATTACATTGCAGGGCACTAAAAAAATTATTAATGTGGTCACTGAATCACTGTAATATTTGTAAAATCACAGGGAAGGCGAAGTACCAGAATACTTCTTTTCTAATCTTTTGGAAGGAATGAAAGGTGAAATCTGATCAGTAAGTGATATTGAGGCCTGATAAAATTCCAGCATGAGTTATTAAACAGATGACATAAGAGCACTTAGGAAAGAAAATGATGAAAATTAGGAACTAGGCTTTTACTAAGAACAAGTCCTGCTAAGCCCTTTTAGGTTTTGATAAAATTTTAGTACACAAACAGATGAATAGGGTCTTAGGATCTCAAGATAATCAACAAAACATATTTCCTTCTTGTAAACAAAATGAATTACTGAAGGTCAGATGATAATAGTCATGCTGACTTAGAATTAATTGGATTTAGAATCAACTGGAAATCTGTTTCCAAGGAGCATTAATGATCATGTTGATAACAACCTGGAGGGTGTATTTATAAGATGAGTTATAGAATCTCTCCTTGACCCTGCCTTAATGTATATTTATACTGATGATTGTAATGAAGCTATAAATGTGTTCATCATATTTGTTTTTAAGATTGATTCAACAAACATTTATTTAAGCACTTTTTATGCACTATTTTCTGTCATCTCATTTGTCTTTCAAAACCATTTTTACTTTTTCTTTCTAATGTAAAGCACAGAAAGCAATAACCCTAAGGGAAAAAAATCATTAGGCTATTGAAATTTAAAATTTCTACTCATCAGAAAACACCTTTAAGAAATGAATAATCAGACTAGAAAATATTTGCAAAATATGTTTCTGACAAAGGCCTGGTATCAAAGATATGTAAAGAACTCCTACAATTCAATAATAGATTTTTTGTTCATACCTTTTATCAGGTTGAGGAAGTACCTTATTCCTGGTTTGCTGAAAGTGTTAAATCATGATTAGGTATTGAATTTTGTCAAATGCTTTTTCTGTATTGAAATTATCAGAATTTTTCCCCTTTATTATGTTGATTTGGTGAATTTTATTGATTGATTTTCAAATGCTAAACTAAGTTTGCGTTCCTGGGATAAATACTACATGGTCAGGATATTTGCTTTGCTTTTTTGCTTGATTTTTTTTGTTGTTACTGGAGTTGATTTTCTAACATTTTATTAAGTATTCTTGCATCTATGTTCATGAGGGATGGTGATCTATAATTTTATTTTCTTGTGATATCTTTGTCAGATTTTGCTGTAAGTATTACTACACTGCCCTCATAAAATCAGATAAGAAATATTTATTTCCTCCTGCTCAGTTTTCTGAAAGAGTTTGCATAGAATTGGTATTCTTTCTTAAAACTGATAGAATTTGTCAGTGTACCATGTGAATATGGAGTTATTTTCTTCTTGGAGTTATTTATCTTCTTGAGGGCAGATTTTTTTTTAAATAACAGATTCAATTTCTTTAATGGGAATAGGGCAATTCAGATTTTGTGTCATCTTGTAGTTTTGTTAAGTTGCATTTAAGTAATTCATCTATTTCATCTAAGTTGTTGAACTTTTTGGCCTGAGGTTATTCTAACTTTTAGCTATCTCTCCCACTAAGAGATAGTAAACCTCGTCTAGAACAGAGATTAATGTATTCTTGGCATTTGCATAATAGTCTACACTTAAAAACAAGTGATAAAAGACTGCTTCCTAGCTTTATCTCATTCTTCATCCTTAAAATTCTTGATATTTTTGTCTATTTATTGTATATATTTTAATAATTCCCTTCAGATTTTGTGAGTAAGAATTCGTTCTTAATTCCATGAAGCACCTTTCTAATGTGCAAACATCCCTTTAAATTCAGTATTGCTTTCATTGAAATAGGCTTTTACGCTGTGGTGTATATTATTCTATTTGTCTTTGCTATTCTTAGGTATTATTTACTCCTATATGTGATTTAGTCAGTTTTCATTTTAATTTTGAAATTTATTTTTTCAGTAGAGGACCCTACTTATTGCCCAGCAGTATTATATTTAAAAATATTGCAATATTAGAAAAGCAAACTATATCTGTGAATGTGGGAATGATCAAGCAGGCAGTGTATTTGGTCTGAGTCTTTTGCTTAGAAAGATTATCAAGCAATATTACAAATGTGAAGAGAAATGGCATGCACAATTGATTTTTGTATTTGAAAGATTGACCGTGACTGATTTTTAAAAGCTAACAGATCTGATATTTACTCTCTCTCTTTTGCTTAAAACGATTTAGCTTGGCCAGGCGCAGTGGCTCATGCCTGTAATCCCAGCACTTTGGGAGTCTGGGAGGCTTAAGGTGGGAGGATCACTTGAGCCCAGGAGTTCAGGACCAGCCTGGCAACACAGGAAGACTCTGTCTCTACAAAAAATAAAAAATAATTTAAAGAAAAGAAAGAAAGAGATTTAGCTAATACCAAGAGAATAATTTGTAAACTCAAAGTCATTATGTCAGATACTAATTCCTCTATGAAGATTTCTTATCTTTTTGATGTATAGTAAATTAGTAGCTTACTGTCTGTACTTTTACGATATGTTATATATATTTTTATTATAGCATATTTCACCTTATATTATAAATATTTATTCATCTTTCTTAGAAAATTGTGTACTTCTTGAGAGCAGGAACCATATGTGTTATTTGTTTTTAAGCACAATGATAGGCATGGTATCTATTGGGTAAATACTATGCTTCATTATAAAATTAACAAAAATGTAATAAAACAGGCTGATGTATTGGTTTAGTGGAATTAAGAGGATTCTTTTACTCTTAAACAGCGTGCACTTAAAAAATTTATTATGCTAACATCCAGCCAAAATGTACCAGTGTTCCTTATTGACCCTTTGATTCTGGAATTGATTAATAAAAACTTTGAGCAAGTCAAAAACACTTCTCGTGGCTCCACTTCAGAATGCAAGTTTTTCTGTGTTCCAAGAGACTTCACTGTGTTTGCACTGCAGTATCATCTATGGAAGAATGAGGTAAGATGATTTGCATTCAGATAATGGAATATGTGTCTTTTATAAAATAGTATAGCATTAAACTAGTTTAAGATGTAAAACATTAGGCTGGGCACAGTGGCTCAAGCCTTTAATCCTAGCACTCTGGGAGGCCAAGGCAGGTGGATCACTCAAGGTCAGGAGTTCGAAACCAACCTTAGCAAGAGCGAGACCCCATCTGTACTAAAAAATAGAAAGAAATTAATTGGCCAACTAAAATATATAGAAAAAATTAGCCGGGTATGGTGGTGCATGCCTGTAGTCCCAGCTACTTGGGAGGCTGAGCAGAAGGATTGCTTAAGCCCAGGAGTTTGAGGTTGCTGTGAGCTAGGCTGATGCCACAGCACTCTAGCCTGGGCAAGAGAGTGAGACTCTGTCTCAAAAATAAATAAATAAATAAGATAAATAAAATATGTAAAACATTAAAAATTGTTTTTAAAACTCTTTATAAATTGTATCAAGAATGTTTTCTGTATAAGTAACAGAACACAATAAACACGAAAGCAAATAGGGGATTTTTTTGTGTATAACAAGAAGTTAAAAGGTTGGTGGCTGCTATTATAGTATTAGTTCAGCTGCCTACTCATGTTAGGATGTGTAGCTCTGAATTTCTTTCATTTCCCTCATTATCACAAGATAGTTGTCATAGCTCTAAGTATCACATCTATGTTCAAGGCAGGAAGATGAGAGGAAGGATAATAGCTTTTCACTGGGGAGACTCCTCAGTATCAGTATTTGTAGGTCATTTCTATTGGACTGTTTGGTTTTCTCATAGAAAAAGCCTACAAGACTTATTAAATGATTTTTACAGAGAGTGTTTTATAATGTCCCTTTATTTTCCCAAAATGAAGTTCATAGAAGTTATAACCTTCCCAAATCAATACAATGTCTTAACTACAATATAATGTAGAAATAAAAGAAAATAATATATATTTCAGTGTATAAAAGCTCAGGCATGACTATACTGGAAGACTATTGTAATAAAGTTATTCAGATGCTTATATTTATAAGTAGGGTCACAGAATGTGGTAGTTACATATATAAACTCATACTATGAATGGTATTGTTGTTAGTATTATGTTTTTCCAAAATAGTGAACAAGTTTCCAACAACAAAAAAGTAAAATTTTCTCTCAGTTGATAATGGCTATTGTATTCCTGGGAAATAAGGGCTTGGATAATTATAAATAAGTTTTTTTACTATATGATTGTCAGATAGAACATTTGAAATTATGCAATACGCAGGGTAGATTTTCATATTATGTCTTTTTTTTGGAAACAGGGTCTTGCTGTATGCCCCAGGCTGTAGTACAGCAGCACCATCATAGCTCACTGCAGTCGTGCAATCCTGGGCTCAAGTGATTCTCCTGCCTTAGCTTCCTGAGTAGCTAGAACTATAAGCACACCACACCCAGCTAATTTTTATTTTTTTTTATTTTTGTAGAGGCAGAGTCTCACTGTATTGTCCAGGCAAGTCTCAAAGTTCTGGCCTCGAGCAATTCTCCCATCTTGGTCTCCTAAAGTGCTGGGATCACAGGTGTGAGCTACTGTGCCCAGCCAAATTTTCATATTTTGGATTGTAGGATATCTAGTGTTCCTGGTCTAGACCTTTAAATACCAGTTTATCATTATGACAAACCAAAATTATCCCCACAAATTTCTAAAATGTCTGTTGGGTGCAGTCCCACTTACCTTGAGAACTGATACTTTAAAAGAAAGGAAATATGCCACAATTGGCAAGACTGATATGACCAGAGTTAGTGTAAGCAAAAAGTCAGCTAAACCCCAAATAAGCACATTATGATATCCTGCAGACCCCTTGGATAGTCCTCACTACTAAAACTTCTCCCAAGTTGGAGATAACTAGATCATTAGATCTAATAACTATAGAGCTAATTTGCATGTGACTTTTCTTTATTAATGTCATTAGCATAAAGTGAACAAACCACTGCCAAGGCAACGGGAGAAGATTTGTGCAGCACAGCCTTGACCTAGGAATTTACTCTAGTTGATAAGAGCAACTACTTTGTTCTTGACTTTTTTCTCTCTCATAGTTATAAGAAGACAAACCATATCATAGTTCTGCCTATTTTGTCGGTTAGTCTTTCCTCCTGCAACCTAAGGTCAGATTCTTCTCAAGGTCTGGCTGGCCTTTTAAATTTTTCCTGAATTTACCAGTTAATAATGCCTTTCTTTTATTCTGCATAGTAGCATCTTTCTCTGAATGGGCCATAGGTCAGAACTTTCCACCTCTTAGGTGTACCAGGAAAGAAAAGGGAAAAGAATTCTACAGTTGATAATTCTAATATAAGGAGAACCAAAGTGAAATTGTATTAGCCAGGGTAAGTTACATTAGTTGCTGTTATTAATAAAAACAACCCTAAAATTTTATTGACTTAGCACAAGAAAGGAGTATTTGTCTTTATAAAAAATTTGGTTTGAATATTTCTGGTCAGGGATATTTCTAGGTAATTTTCCTATAAGCTCAGGTATCCAGCTGTTTCATTTGTGTGGCTTTCCTATGTTGGAGTTCTTTGCTTTCATACATGCAGATGGAAGAAAGAGAACATGGAAGATCTTTTGGGATATTGTAAGGCCAAGCCTTAGAAGTATATGATACTTCTGTCACATCCCATTAGCCAGAACACAGTTAAGCTCTACATCAAGAAAGGAGAGGACGCTTGTTATTGGTACTAGTAGCATTCTCTACCAGAAGTATCACTTTCTCTCATTTAAAAATATGAACAACAACAAATATCTGTTGTGTCCCTACTGGGTAGTGCACACTCTATTGATTCCTATGGTTGAGAAACTTGCAGTCTATTAATGGAATTTAGTCATTTAAACAATGAAAAGATAATACAAATGAATAGTATGATAGAGATGTGTGTGTCTTATGAGAGCATAATGAGGGTACAACTAAGTCAAATGACTATATTGAAAGGCAAAATGGTATGAAGAAAGTACTCTTAAAAATGTTTATGAATGCGATGGCTATTGAGAAAAACTTTAAGACATGTCCCTATCATTTAATAACCTTATTAATAACCATTTAATAACCATATCTGGCATGGCTTCTTAGACCTTTATTTTCCTTAACTATAAGCTACGCATAATGATATTTTCCTTGCTGACCTTACATAATTCTTGTGGGTATCAAATGAGATAAAGAATGTGAATAACCTTTGTATACATTATATAAACTAGAGAGGTAGTGTTATATATTGGAAAAGACTATGGATTTGGTCCTTATTAGCACAGGCTAGTGCTTGCAGTGGATTTGCACCTTTTTAGCTTTATGTCTTTAGACAGGAAACTTGACATCTGTGGGACTCTTTCCTTATCTACAATACCTGTGCTTCCTTATGGAGTAGATGTTATGAGCAAATTCAGTAATGTATAAAAGTTCCTTGGAGATTGTAAATTCTTATTCAGTTGTAAGGTATTCTTAATAATCAATACTATTTAACCATCTATAACACTGGTTGTTGAGTTAGGACTAAAATCTATATAGTTGAGATTAGGACTAAAATCTATATAGGACTAAAATCTATATAAATCTAATAAATCTTATGTGAGATTTATACTATAAGGATGTTAGAAAATGCACTTTGTTTTACATTATGTTTCGGTCTGTTTCTAATGATTTGCATTATGATGGGGTTCTATTATGGTAGCATTTGAGTGTTGGGATATAAACTATGAGATGAAAGAACTACTTTTTTGAAGTACTTTGGAAGATAGAGTTTATTAGAAGTTAAATTAAGAATTATAAGCTGGGCACAGTGGCTCACACCTGTAATTTCAGCTACTTGGGAGGCTAAGGCAGGAGGATCACTTGAGCCCAGGAGCTATGATGGTGCCACTGCACTCCAGCCTGAGCCACAAAGCGAGACCTCATCTTTATTTAAAAAAAAAGAAGAGGCCAGGCATGGTGGCTCACGCTTGTAATCCTAGCACTCTGGGAGGCCGAGGCGGGCGGATCGTTTGAGCTCAGGAGTTTGAGACCAGTCTGAGCAAGAGTGAGACCCCATCTCTACTAAAAAAAATAGGAAGAAATGAGCGGGACAACAACTAAAAGTATGTATATAAAAAATTAGCCGGGCATGGTGGTGCATGCCTGTAGTCCCAGCTACCTGGGAGGCTGAGGTAGGAGGATTGCTTGAGCCCAGGAGTTTGAGGTTGCTATGAGCTAGGTTGATGACGTGGCACTCTAGCCCGGGCAATAGAGTCAGACTCTGTCTCAAAAGAAAAAAAGAAGAGAAGAATAATTACAAGTTTGATTTTAAGTGCTATCGTTTTATAACATTTACTTTGTAGAAACCAAAGAACACTAATATGCACTCTCATTCCAAGGAAGAAATTTGTATTAATTTTTATAAAGAAGGTATTTAGCAGTATCTTCCATGCTACATATTTTCTCTTTTTGTTACTTTATTTTATTCTCTCATCACCACCTTCTGCTTGTCACCCTCATTTTAAAATCATCTGACAAAGAACAAATTAGTACAAAAGTATGGCTCAATTCCATGTAAGAATTACTTTGGTTTTGCTACTAGTATTTGGTTTTAAATTTTCAAGCTTGATGTTTATCTTTGGTTCTAGGAAGGCTGGTTTCGGATAGCTGAGAATATGGGATTTCAGTGCCTAAAGATTGAGAGCAAAGATCCCCGGCTAGATGGGATAGACTCACTTTCTGGAACCGAAATTCCCCTGCACTATATCTGCAAATTGGCCACTCATGCCATCCACTTGGTGGTCTTTCATGAGAGGAGTGGCAACTACCTCTGGCACGGCCATCTACGACTCAAAAGACACATTGATAGGAAATTTGTTCCATTTAGAAAATTACAGTTTGGTCGTTATCCTGGAGCTTTTGACAGGTAAGTTCAGAGTCAAAAGGGAAAATGTGAAATGAGTGTTGTTCAGTCATGAATTCTTGCCCTTTTTTACCATTTAGTATTGAAATCTAATATATAATTCACATAAATGTTCATAGTAACATTGTTAATACCCCCAAATTAGAAGCAACTCAATTGCCTTTGACAATAAAAGGATAAGTAAATTTATACACATATGTTTGTTCATACAAGTATTATACAGTGGGAAATAAATGAACTAGAGGTCTATGCAACGGCATAGATGAATCCTACGATGTTGAATGACACAAGGCACAAAAGACTACAAATTTGATTACACATATAAAATTCAAACACAAGCTAAATTATGTTCGTGGATATATTCTTATGTAGTAAAAATATTAAGAAGAATAAGGAAGAGGTATCAGAAAAGACAGGGCAGAGTTTATGTCTAGGAGGAGTGATTGGGTAAGGCACAGAGAACTGCAGGGAAGCTGAAAAAATTCTATTTCTGTGGTAGAGATTTGGGTGTTTACTTTATAATTCATTATTTTTTGTCTTTTTGTTATATGCTCTTTCCTGTATATTGTTTAAAATGATGTGCAACAATCTGTTGGCTCACTTGGCCATGATGCTGACTTGAGGTGGCAGCAGCAGGATACCTGGAGCTCTGGCATTGCTGACATCCATAGGCTATTTAATTGGCTGTCAGAAACACTAGCAAGTGTACGCCATTCTGGTGCATCCCTAACAGACAGAGGCAACAGAGATTTAGGATGAGCACTGATAATACCTGTGAAGAGCCAAGGTAAACACATGAGTATGAACTGAACTCTATCTCAGATAAGAAAAAACATGAACAGCCTACTTGTGCAAAAATTGAAAATGCAAGTTTTAAGGGTACTCAGGGCCCATTGCTAGAAGTTGATGCAGCATCTATAAAGTATCCTGTTGCTCTTACTACCAGTGATGTAGGCACTGACCATAAGCTACATTTGACAGAAGATACAAATTTAATTAGGGTGAATAATCTCAAAGATGGCAGTTTGTGTCCTACTCTTCCCATTGAACATAGATTCCGAAGACAATAGTCTATGTCAAATTATGTTGAAGAGACTGAAATATGTTGGAAACTAATTCCAATTACGGGTGTGAAATCACCAGAAGAACAATTGGCCTTTCCTAACCATGGCTGGGTAATATTAAGTAGACAGACATTCTCATTACCAGTTTCCATCCTCTCCATTTACAGACACACGAAAGAGCACCACTGAGGATGATGTGTTGACAGGTCAGGTGGTGACAGTAGAGGAGTAGTATTTTCTAGCAGCAGAGCCACCTGCAGTGAGTGAAACCACAGACAGGACAGTGTTAGGAGAGCACAATCTCTTTTCTAGGAAGATGGTAGCGATTTTGAACCAAAACAATGTTTCATGTGTTAGTAGAATTTCCATACCTATCTTTACAACATAAGAGAAGATGAAACAGCTTTCTGAGTTCATATATCCAAAGACTTCCAAAGCTGATGTGCAGGAGTTTATAGATGGCTTGCATGAGAAACTAAATACTATAATTGTTAAAGCGTTGGCTGGGAATTTGCCACCTTTCCTAACGATTCTGGTACTAAGATACCATTGAATCCTCTGGAAAGGCATGTTACACCAGTTTCCTCAAATGACTTTGACAATAAATACCCTTTTGAGCCACTTTGTAGTGATGCTTCGAAAGACACCATCGCTTATGAGCAGCATTCCTCTTTTTTTGAGACAGAGTCTCACTTTGTTGCCCAGGTTAGAGTAAGTGCCACGTGCCATCAGCCTAGCTCACAGCAACCTCAAACTCCTGAGCTCAAGCAATCCTGCTGCCTCAGCCTCCCGAGTAGCTGGGACTACAGGCATGCACCACCATGCTCAGCTAATTTTTTCTATATATATTAGTTTGGCCAATTAATTTCTTTCTATTTTATAGTAGAGACAAGGTCTCGCTCTTGCTCAGGCTGTTTTCAAACTCCTGACCTTGAGCAATCCACCCGCCTTGGCCTCCCAGAGTGCTAGGATTACAGGCGTGAGCCACCTCACCTGGCCAGCATTCCTCTTTGAGTTTAAGCAAAGTGGAAATGAACCAGCTACATCATGCCACCAAGTTGTGGTTACTTCTGATCATACTCTGCTTGGTTAAATTGCCTGGAACCAGCAGAAAAATAAACAATAGATCATCCAGTGATATAAACATTTCTGCCCAACCAGCTCTTTCAAATTTTATAGGCCAGTTAGAACCTGAAGTATTTAATAGTTTGGTTAAAATCATGAAAGATGTCCTGAAAAAATACTGTGAAATTTTATATTCAGAAAGAAGAGGGTATATTCTGTAAAGAAATAAGAGTATCTCATCAAAGTAGGCAATACAGACTGTCATCCAGAATAGTTTTTGGAAAGAAGATTCAAAGTATATAAACTATTGACTATTATTCAAAATGAAGACATTGCAGGTTTCATTCACAATTATAATACCTGGCATGATGACCAAATGTAAAGAAGCTCCCCAGTGTTCGTTTTGCTGATGTTGATAGCCTAGATGATATCAAAAATCATACAATGAATTATTTGTATCTGGCAGTTTTATTATATCTGCTGAATCGATTCTAAACCCAGAGGATGTCACAATTGAGAACCTTAAAATATTTTGACATTCCTTGAAGAACTTAGCATTTCAGAAGGAAAATGGCAATGGAAAGTTCACTGTAAATTGTAGAAAAAAACTAAAGGAACTAGACAGATTGAATGCCAAAGCTCTAAGTTTGCCAATGCTTCTGAATGTCTATCAGAAGAAACATCTGGTTGAAATTTTGTCATACCACAATTGTGATTCACAAACTTGAAATACTCCAGAATTGCATTGCCTTATCAGGCTTTAGGTTCAGAACATATAACATCAACACATAGTCTTTTTAACGGAGAAGAACATCAAGATGCTTTCCAGTTGTACAGGTGATGGAATAGTGGTTGCAACTACTGAAGACTTTATACAAAACTTTAAAAATCCTATGAGCTATCACAGCTCAGTCACAGAAGAAAACCTGATGCTTGGTACTTATGAGACTCTTGAGTCACAGTCAAATGCTATTTTTTGTTTTTGTTTTGTTTTGTTTTGTTTTGAGACAGTGTCACTCTGTTGCCAGTGCTAGAGTGTGGTGGCATCATCATAGCTCAATGCAACCTCAAACTCCTGGGCTCAAGCAACCCTCCTACCTTTCAGCCCCCTAAGTAGCTGGGACTACAGGTATACACCACCACACCCAGATTATTTTTTGTAGAGATGGGGTCTTGCTCTTGGTTGGGGTGTCATTCTTGCTCAGGCTGGTCTGGAACTCCTGGGCTCAATCCATCCTCCCACCTTGGCCTCCTAGATGTTTTTTTTCCCTCTTACTTAAATCTTGATGGCCTGTTACAGTTGAAGCACCTAAAAACTGAAATAAAAATATATATATTTAAAACTACGTGCAAAAATATATCCTTAGCTATCACAACAATAAAAATGTTTCTTATGAGAAATAGTTATTTGAAGATACTTATGTAAAATTTGATTAGTGATAGCTTATGATATTAACAATTGTAGGATAAAATAACCTTGAAATTAATCATTAAGTATGAAGTTTCTAACCCAGAGTTAAATTTTTTCTTCTCCTTTTGAAGTCACCAATAGTGATGCTACACTGTGTTTTAAATACCAGAACCTGATGTGAAGGTAGTAGTGAACCTTTATCTTTTGCCTTAAGATTTACCATACTTGTAAGAATTTTAATATTAAAAATTCTTTGTAGGCAACTTCCAGAGACACTGCTTACCGGTTATACTTAAGAAATGTAGAGTATATTTATTCTTGCCTTCTTATAATTAGTACTTAAAATCACGTATTTGAGAACAACTGAAAAAGATGTTGAAAACTGGCACCTTCTATATTTTTTGTGTATGTGAAGTCAAACTTTTTCTTAACCAAGACTGGTTTTAGAAATAAAATGACAAAAAAAAGGGGGGGGGTGGAAAAATATACTTTGTTGTTAATGTTGGCTCCTCTTACTATTTTAGTCAAAATCTTAATAGCCACTATTCGCTTACCATTTTAATGCATATTTTTTCTTATTCTGTATTTCAAATAAATTTCTGTAGGAAGACATTATCTTTTAGTTTTTTAAAAGCCTTATGAATTTATTTCAAAGTTTAATAATTCAGTAAATTTCACAATTGTCAGTCAGCAAATAGTTATTAAACATAAATGTGTACCAGTAGATAAAAGCTGTCTCTATATTGTACATTTTATATAATGAAGGTTCAAAAACTTTCAAAGAATATTTGTAGAGTATGGTATCCATAAGTCTGATTTCCAGATTAGCATTTTGACCATTAATGAGACTCTTAGGCCATTGTAATTTATTCTTGTGTCTTAAGTGTTAAAGACATTTACTTCTCTAAAAGTAAATTGGTAGTTTAATATTACGTTACTTAACTTTCCTTTCTGCTTAAGATACCAAAGTGTATATGAACAAGTATAAAAATGTTTTAAATACATTAACCAAAATACTTAAAACTCAATTGCTGTTTGATGTCATATTTTCAAGGTCTTATTAAAGTTGCTAATTGATATCTGAAATAATTGAAGAAAATATGCTTGACGTTTAGCTATTTTGCTAATGTTTGAAATTTTGTTTGAGGCTTCCAGTATTCTGGGTTAAGTCCTTTTAATCTTACCTTTTGTTTTCAGGCCAGAGTTACAGCAAGTTGCTGTTGATGGACTAGAAGTTCTCATTCCAAAAGATCCAATGCACTTTCTAGAAGAAATACCACACTCTAGGTTTATTGAGTGTAGGTATAAGGAAGCACGGGCATTCTTTCAGGTTAGAGACAGCCAAATAATGTACTTTTTAACTTAAAGAAAGTGTTGTGTTTATTTTTAATATTTCTGGGGGGAAATGAAAGGACTTGTAGAAAATAAGAAAACATCTTTTTTCAATTCATCTGTTTTCTTCTACTTGTTTTCTGTTAACTTTTTTAAAAGTAGATTAAAAATTAACCTTAAGAAACTTTCTTTCTTAAATAGATTGATATTTATTTATTGTTTTATTTGAATATGTTTTGATAGGTTTAACAGTCAACTCTGCCTTCAGTTAAGATAACCTATTAACTTTATAAAAGATGGCATATTCTCTTTTTGAGGCAATCCGAATAGGATGAAGCCATTGTAGAAGATGGATCATGTAGATTTAGAAAAGACTTCATGGAGAATACAGTTTTTCTTGGAGGGTTGGCATTGAATATGAATTTTTTTGCATTTATGAAGGTTTTTGAAGATAAATGCTATACAAAGATCAGGTGCTTTTTGAACTTTATTATGCTCCTGTAGCTTTCAATTTGGTAAATAGTTATTGAAAGCCTATTCCTAGGTTTCTGACCCCAGGGGTGGGGGTGGGGGTGGGGAGATATAAAAATAATTTTGAAAGTCATGAAAGTACAACTCTTAGAGATGATATGAAACAGAGATACAGCGAAAACAGACAAATTTACAGTCGGGTTTTGGTACCTTCTACTTGTCCTTTACTTTCTGGGGTCCCCTGCCAAGAAAGCTATATACACCAGGACAGGAACAGAATGCAAAAATGAAGTACCAACTTTCTTACTGCTACCAAGTGCCCAAGACCCACAAATGCAAAATTTCTTTGGTATCGTATGCTAGCACCCAAGACCTAGGCCTGACAGCCCAGGTGGGCTAAATTGTGAATGTCTGTCTTAAACCCATACTAAATGTTTTGAACTTGATGATAAGCATCTTATTTTATTCACGTCTGTAGCCCCAGTATCAGCCCTAGTATCTATCACATTACCTGGCACAAAGAAAAGTTCCAGAAGGGTTTATGGGTTTGTTTTCAAATTAAAGTTAACATATATAATTGAACACTTGGTGGCGCCAAACAGTCTTAAATACAATGCTTGCTGCAAAACAAGCATTGAACTGATAATCTAATAGTCAATATAAAACACCTCCTAACTTCCTTCTTTCCTTCCTGCCCTCCTGCCTTCCTGTTCATTCATTCATTTAAAGACAAGATCTTGCTCTATTACCTGGATTAGAGTACAGTGGCATTGTCACAGCTCACTGCAACCTCAAACTCCTGGGTTCAAGCTGTCTTCCTGCCTCAGCCTCTCAAATATTAATAGCTGGAAGTACAGGCATGCACTATCATGCCCAGCAAATTTTTCTAATTTTTGTAAATACACATAACTTTTTTTGTCTGAACTATTTGGGATGGATAAGAGCGTACAACTCTCATTCCCATCATATGTTTTAAGAGAAGCTATGGCTCTGAGGAAAGGAATATGTTCATCTTGAAGGGATCTTGTAAATTTGTATGTCTTGTAGATGACTTAGCTTCAGGAATCTCACTTTTCTTCCTACAAGTACTTTTTGCTTTTAACGATTTGACTAGATGCCACACAACCTCAAATAATTTAGTATTTTTTAAAAATAAGAACATTCAGGCCGGGCGCTGTGGCTCACGCCTGTAATCCTAGCTCTTGGGAGGCCGAGGCGGAGTTCGAAACCAGCCTGAGCAAGAGCGAGACCCCGTCTCTACTATAAATAGAAAGAAATTAATTGGCCAACTGATATATATATAAAAAATTAGCCGGGCATGGTGGCGCATGCCTGTAGTCCCAGCTACCCGGGAGGCTGAGGCAGAAGGATCACTCGAGCCCAGGAGTTTGAGGTTGCTGTGAGCTAGGCTGACGCCACGGCACTCACTCTAGCCTGGGCAACAAAGCGAGACTCTGTCTCAAAAAAAAAAAAAAAAAAAAATAAGAACATTCTCTTACATATCCTAATTTAAAAATTAGGATATTAACACATAGATCATTACTATTTAATTCCTATTAAAGTTTTGCTAATTGTCCCACTAATGACCTTTGTAATATAATACGAAGATTCAATTCAGAATCACATGTTGTGTTAGTTTTCCCATTTCTTTAGTCTTTTTCAGTCTGGGACAGTTTCTTAGTCATGACTTTGATACTTTTGAGGTTTACAAAAGTATTTTATAAAGTGTCCCTCATTTGGAGTTTGTCTGTTTTTTTCTCATGGTAGATTCAGGTTGTAGGTCTTTAGAAGGAATAACATAGAAGTGATGCTGTGTTCTTCTCATTATATCCCATCAGATGCTATAAAATTTTGATTTGTCATATTACTGCTGATACATCACTCACTTGATTAAAGTAGTCTGTGAAGCTTCATAGCCTCACTCCTATGAAGTTTCTATTTTTCCCGTTGTAATTAATAAGTATTTGGCATGAAGTTACATTAAAATTATATAAATGTTGTTTCTCATGAAATTTTCAATTTATTTGTTTATATCAGTATGAATTTACGGTTTCCTATTTTATCCAATGGGATATATTTTACATTATTTTCATTATTTATTTTGTTCTTCAGACTGTTCCTTATTTGGCCAGTAGAAATCCCTTCACATTGGTTTCTGTGTATTTTTGACTCATCTACATCATTTTTTTGAGCACTTTGTTGCTTTTTTGACACAATAAGATGTTCTAGCTTCATCTTGTAATTTCCCTGCCACAACCCTAGGGTCAGCCAATTCTCCAAGTCCTGTTTCCTTTTAGAAGCCAAGATCTGGATACCAGATGTACCCATTGCTATTTGGGGCTTGCTACACACAGGTCCTCTCAGTAGACAAGTGTAGGGCATATCTATATATATTTATTTCTATATTTACCTTTTGAAATCTGTGAACTCACATCAGTATCTCCAGTTTGATTAAGTTATAAGTTCCAATTGTATGGTACAATATAAGGTTCATTTCCACATTTGTTAGTCAAGGGCAGATTAGACAAAGGAAACAACATGTATAAAAACACACAGGCTTTAAAAGTGGTGTATTTGGGGAGTTAGTTACAAGTTATTGCTGTCATGTGAAGTGTGAAAAGAGTGGAAATGAGGCTGGACAAATAGAGACCAGAACACAATGTCCTTGTCTGCCAAACCAAGAAGTTTAGATTTTGTCCCATAGGTAGCAGAGCATCACTGTAGAATTTACAGTGCTTTCCTTAGTTCCAGAACACTCTAAAAACAAAGAAAATCAGAAAACCAAAATGACTAAATGATGATAATATTTGTATAAGACCTTATAATTAGTAAGGCATTTTTATCCTTAAATCTTCACAGCAGTCCTACAAAGTATAATTATTATTGTTAAATTACAGATAGGGAAATTAAATCTAAGAGAGATTTGTTTATTTCATTCTTTCACTCATTCAACAAATATTCAGGCACTGTTCTAGGCACTGGAGATATAAGTCATTTTCTTCATAATCACCTTTTGAGATGATTATGCCTAAGGTCACAGCTACAAAGAAGTGGAGCTAGATTCGAACACAGATAATCTGATTCAAAATCTCAGGCTCCTATGCTACACAGTATCTAAAGACCAATAGCATGTGAATGATGAAAATATCATTGAATTCATTTTGCTTTAGCCATGCTTGCAGCTCTCATAATTAGCCTTCTTTTCCCCTAACTGCCCAACCTGCTAAATAGTGATGTGCAGGAAGAGCTGATAAGAGTATAAGTCTCGTCCTTTGGGAATCCTGGTTATATTCTTTCCCTTCTAACTTGTATCTCCTAGAATCTACCCATATTCTCATTTTAATGTGTGACTAAAAAGTAACTATAAAATGTGATTTTTATAATATAAAAAGATAGGATATAGACTTAACTTTCAAATTTAATTCAGATGTCGCAGAAATGTTTCTAGCAGTTTAGAAATGGTTGTAGTAGCTGACTATTTATTATATCTGTAGCAGTACCTTGATGATAACACTGTAGAAGCTATGGCCTTTCGGAAGAGTGCAAAGGAATTATTGCAACTAGCAGCCAAAACATTAAACAAATTGGGAGTACAATTCTGGCTGAGCAGTGGAACTTGTCTAGGTAAAATTCTTATTATGTTCCTTTTGTCTTTTGTCATTTTATCCTCTTTGACTTTAGGGATGACTGCTTGAGATGACAAAACATCAGTGATATTTGAAATATCATATTTATAGACAGAATAAACATTAGTGAATAGAGCAAGGATCTATTGATTTCTTTAAAGAAATTAATTTCAGAAATATAAAGTAGAATGTTAGGAAGGCCATGTTTGCATTTGCCTAAAATTCTAAGTAATATATTTAAGATTTGTATCAGAATATGTAGACTATACAGTAGTCCCCCCTTATCTGTGGAGACTATGTTCCAAGACTCCCGTGGGTGCCTGAAACCTCAGATAATACTGAACTCTTTTTATACTGTTTTTTTCCTTTGCATACATGCCTATGATAAAGGTTTTATAATTTACAAATTGGGCATGGTAAAAGATTAACAACAATAAGTAATAATAAAATAGAACAATTATAACAGTATACCGTAATACAAATTGTGTGAGTGTGGTCTCTCTCAAAATACCGTGTTATACTGTACTCACTCTTGTTCTTCTTTTGATGATGTGAAATGATAAAATGCCAATATGATGAGACGAAGTGAGGTGAATCACATCATCATTGTGACATAGTGTTAGGCTACTATTGAAAACTAATTTAAAACTTCTGAATTATTTGTTTTTGGAATTTATCATTTAATATTTTCAGACCGTGGTTGAGCACAGGTAACTGAAATTGTGGAAAACAAAACCGTGGATAGGGGGGACTACTGTAATTGATTCTCAGGTAATCTATAAATTATCATTTTATTATTTCTATCCCAAAGATTCTTATTGCTTCTTTTAAAAACTCTGTATCTTTACTTTATACACCATACAAACAGCTTGCATTGCACCAGAAGTTTCTAATGAGAGGAAGATTTAAGAGAATGTCATAAAGTCTTCTACTAGCCCTTTCCAGGTCATTGACAGCATCACTGATTGAACATCACTGTTCATCTGAGATGGAAATATAGACTTTTCTACAGTCCTTAGGCAAGTTGCTATTAGAATTTGAGAAAGAATTCTGAATCTCTGTCCACTATCCATTAGATCAAACTTCTTTAGAATGTAGAATTATTTAGAATCTTAAATTTTGTTTTGTTTTTATTTGTTCCCACTTGATTATAATTGTAGTTTATTGTATTTGTTCCTTCTTGATTATAACTGTATTTGTACAAAAGTTAATTCAGCTCCTGCTTTTATAGGGTTGGCATATAATTTATTGTCCAATTCAAGAGACTTTTGATTGTGAAAGGAAGTGCCATTAATAATTATGTTGATATAATAGTTATAAACTGGGATGGTTACCCTGTCTGTTAGGCTTTGTAGAAAATTCACATGGTTAAGGAGGTTACTACTAGAATAAGCCAAAAAAAGAGTATATCTCATACATTTATGTGATGTCTGCTTTAAGGATGGACTTTATAGAAGCAAGATTGTTTTATAGTGTGTGTCATCAGAAATACTTCTTAATGATTTGTTATGATTTGTTTTGAGTTTTTAGCCCCATAGTTTTCTTGATTTAAGGGTATTTATGAAATGAAGGAGTTGTATTAGATGATATTTAAGGAGTTTTCCATTTTTTTGTTTGTTTGTTTTTTGAGTTTTCCATTTTTAATAGTTTATAATTCTTTGATAGAATTCTTTTAGAATTCCAAACAATATTGCCCAGTAGCAATGCCTATAAAGATAATTGTAGTCATTTATTTACTTCTAAAATAATTTGTATAGAATAATTAGAAGGATAATAGGGAAGACCCAGGAGTACTTAATAATATTAAGGTATACATTTTTTTTTTTGAGACAGAGTCTCACTCTGTTGCCTGGGCTAGAGTACCATGGCATCAGCCTAGCTCACAGCAACCTCAAACTCCTGGGCTCAAGCGATCCTACTGCCTCAACCTCCAAAGTAGGTGGGACTACAGTTATGTGCCACCATGCCCAGCTAATTTTTTTCCTATAGATTTTTAGTTGTCCAATTAATTTCTTTCTATTTTTGGTAGAGGCGGGTCTCACTCTTGCTCAGGCTGGTTTCAAACTCCTGACCTTGAGCGATCCTCCCGCTTTGACCTCCCAGAGTGCTAGGATTACAGGTGTGAGCCACTACACCTGGCCTAAGGTATAAATTTTATTTTCTTTAGAACAGTGCTATAGCACCTAATTGAGACATAAACACTTAGAAATATCTTTTGATGGTGTTTTGAAAATTAAAGCTGATAATGCTTTTTTTATATATATACCCATCAGTTAGGCACTGTTTAGAGCTAAGTTCTACAAACCATTGTTCAGAAAAGATATATTGGTTAAGCAAAAGAATTCAGTATGTTTTTAGTGTTATCTTAAAGGCAGCCTCCATCACTAGAGGTTGATGATTAAACATTCTTAACAACTTAACCTACTTATGTACTTACGTACTTATTTATTTATGAGCCGGAGTCTCCCTCTGTCACCTGGGCTAGAGTGCCATGGTGTCAGCCTAACTCACAGCAACCTCAAACTCCTAGGCTCAAGCAATCCTCCTGCCTCAGCCTCCCAAGTAACTGGAACTACAGGCATGCACCACCATGCTGGCTAATTTTTCTATTTTTAGTAGAGACAGGGTCTGGCTTTTGCTCAGACTGGTCTTGAACTCCTGACCTCAAGCTATCCTTCCGCCTCAGCCTCCCAGAGTGAAAAGATTACAGGCCTGAGCCACCATGCCTAGCCAACTTAACTTTTTTAAATGGGTGGCCCAGTTAACATTATAAAAGCTAATGATTTATTCAGAAATTAAAATATATCATGAAAGTTTTTGAGGAATCTGAGAGTGCTCAGACCAGTAAAAATAGGTAGTCACGTGGTTCAGGTGATTCCTATAACCAAACCTTTAGTTTGGGATTTAATTTTTTAAAAAATAATTTTGGTAAAGCATCTTAAGTCTAATCCTATGAAGTAAAATTCATTATTAATACAAAGAACATCCATTATAATGACTATTTTTTAAAAAAAAAATTGTATCACTTTTTTTTTTTAAGGATGGTATCGGCAGTGCAACATTATTCCTTATAGCAGAGATGTCGACCTAGGAATTTTTATACAAGATTACAAACCTGATATTATTTTAGCATTTCAGGATGCAGGACTTCCACTCAAACACAAATTTGGGAAGGTCAGTAAATTTTTTAAGTAATATCTCAATTGTAAAGTTCATATTAAGCAACTCAGACATGCTTAAGAATGCTGCATGCATCATATTATCACTCAATATTGTTGGATGAGTTCAGCAGAAGTTTGTTGCCACTTATGATTTCTACACTATTTAAGAAAAAACTAGAAATATATGCTTTCTATTGACAATGAGGAAAGAAGAATCTTAGAATCTTACAGATGAATTTATTGTCATTATATTAGCCAACAGTACAAAATTAATATAATATATAATATACAATTAACATACTAAGTAAGAATCTTACCCTGCCTAACTCAAATTGTATTGTTTTTCATGAGTCATTTAATTTTATATTGATTCAGCTATGGATATCATTATTAACACAAAATATTACATTGATTGCTAAGGGGTAGAAATATGCAATCATTTCAAACAAATACTTTAATTTTTTATCTCATATGTCCTAGGTTATAGCAGGTTTCTCAGAGGTCATACAGGAATGGGTTATCATAGGCTAGATGAAATCTTCCCCTAAACAATTTCATTCTTATGTTCTGAGCCCATGATTTCCTGCAGTCATCTTGTTTTTAATTTGCTTATTCTCAGGGCAGTGTCCTACAAAGCAAGTAGAAGTGTGTTTAATCACTACAAAACTATTTCTCCTATCATAAATAATCATTCTATTTTACTAAAAAAATTTAATATAATATTTTACTGAGGTCAAAGTCAAAGCAATAGAGCTCTAGGCATTCAGCAAACATTTACTGACCATTCACTGTATGTCTTGCCCTGTCCTCTGCACCTGGAACACAAAGATTAATAAATTACAGTTCTTACCCATGAGAAGCTCACTGTATAATTGAGAGGGAAAAAATGGCATAAATAATTATTTTGTGATTGATGCTCTAACAGACAGATGTACCAAGTCCTATAAGAACATAATTTTTTGTAGAATAGGTTTCTTTAGGGAAATGCTCTCAGGACTTTTTTCCTTTACCATACCTTTTTGTTTCTTCTTCTTTTTTTTTATTTTTTGAGACAGTCTCTCACTCTGTTGCCCTGGCTAGAGTACCGTAGCATCAGCCTAGTTCACAGCAACCTCAAACTCCTCGGCTCAAGCAATTCTTCTGCCTCAGCCTCCCGAGTAGCTGGGACTATAGACATGTGCCACCATTTCCGGCTAATTTTTTGAATGTATTTTTAGTTGTCTAGCTAATTTCTTTTCTATTTTTTAAGTAGAGACTGGGTCTCACTATTGCTCAGACTGGTCTCAAACTATTGAGCTCAAATGATCTGCCACTTGGCCTCCCAGAGTGCTAGGATTACAGGCGTGAGCCACCGCTCCTAGCCTATTTCTTCTTTTTTAAATGCATATAATGTAATGATCTATACTATGTATGTGGCTGTGAGGAATATCACTTTGCCTAAGTACTTACCTATTGATCATGGTGAGAGACTTAGTTCCTGATCATTTTACTTGGTTATTAAACGGGGTAATTTTTCCTTGGTTCCTTTCCTTCTTTAATCAGAAAGCTGCTCTGGAATAGGATGTTTCTGTTTTCTCTGTAGAGTGATAATTTAACTGCCATTAGTCATTTACCCTGAGTTGTCATCAATTATTAGAAGCAACATTATTTTAGATGGAGTGAAGATAGAAATTAAATGATGGTAATACACTGATGCATCCCAATTTCAGAAGTGCTTTAACTTGAAAAAAAATACATCTTAGAATTAATACTTGATGTGCGTAAAACGTAAGAATCTTTTTCTTTCTTTTTTAAGAAAAGTTTTTAAAAATGTATTTCCTTGATTCAGTCTGTAAAGGTTTTCATCTTCCCTTTAGGTAGAAGACAGCTTGGAACTATCCTTCCAGGGAAAAGATGATGTAAAACTTGACATTTTTTTCTTCTATGAAGAGACTGACCACATGTGGAACGGAGGCACTCAAGCCAAAACAGGAAAAAAATTTAAGTATGAATCAAATAAGTACTTATAAAAGGGGCTGTAGAAACTTCAGAATGTGTAAATAAGGAAGTAACTGAAAATAGGGGTAGGGGGATCTCTCTCGAGGCTCTATCAACCTAAATAAATGAGGCAAAAATCTCAATTAATGGAGGTTTATTAAGCCAAGATTTTGCAGACACACCCAGGAAAAGCACTGGCTGTTTTTCTGAAGGGGAAGTTAGAACCTTCAGCATTTTAAAGGCATACAAACAGAAGGAAAAAGGCTGAGGGGCAAAGGGTCTGATAAGGTAGTAGTTACATCCTTGTGAGGCCCAAGAAATCTACACTTTACCTATAATAAGGGAGTAAAGAAAGCAATTATGTAGATGTTCCTGGGTAGGTGGAAGACTGTCTGATTCTGGCTTGTCTCCAGTTCTGTTACCTGCAAGATAAACTTGTAATTCATTGTTAGTGTGGAGTTGAACAGGCTTTAGTTTTAGGTGCTAGATATAGATACAATTTGTCCTTGTTCATGGGAGATTAGCAAATTTCCTTAATGAATAAATGATTTGCTAGGCTAGTTCTTCACAGGTGCCTGAGGCTTTTACCTTCTCTTTTGCATAAGGAGTTGAGGGGGTGGCCCTGAGACTTTGATTTTCCTTTTATAGCTCCATTATTAGCCAATACTTTCTCAGCTTACTCATAGGGTCCAGTTATGCCTGTGAAATGAGCATACCTATAAGAACAGTCTTTGTAGAGCAAATGTCCCTGGATTTGTTAATGTAAGGAGTCATTATGATTAGAAGCCACTGAGTCATGAGAAAGAGAATACCAAAGCAAGGAATACAAATCAAGCCCAGAGCTTAAGCCAAAAAACTGATTATCAGAGCTGTGGGATCTTGATAATTATATGGGAGTCAATAAGGGATGGTAAGAAGGAGATCATTAAAACAAAGTGAAGTTTAAGTGAAGAAATTGGGATTGAACAGAGTTAAGGCTATTTATGCTGAGCAAACTTCAGAATATGCTTTAGAATAGACTGAGGGCTAATCTTCAAAAGGATACTTGCTGGGTTTAATAGCTACCATATTTTGTCGAATGTATTAATAAGATAACATTGATTGTAAAATGCACTATTATTTTGTGTATTACTAAGAAAGGAAAAACACTGGTAATTAAAATTGTAAAACACATGATTCACAGATGGAAAAATTGAGCGGAAGGTGTCTCAGAACTAATGAAATGCAGTACGTTTGATTGGCATTGTTAACATCTAGTTTTTTTTTTTTTTAATGCTGCCGTAATCAAACTCTTTTTTTGGAAATGGCGGAAATGACATTAGAGTAACTGTGCTCTCCTTTATGATGCAGTTGCCCTGTCCTCAATTCTAAGAGAGAGAATGAGAATGAGAACTTGAAGAGCATGGGGTTTGGAGTCAGGCAAACCTGGGAAACCTCAGCACAACCCTAATTTGTGGCCTTACCTTTTCTAAATGTTAATCATTTTATCTGTTACATTTGAGTAATACTGCTGTGTGTTAGGCACTCTTCTTTGCACATGTATTAACCCTTCTAGTCCTCACAACAACCTTAGCAGGTAGATATTCTGTGAGGCACTGAGAACTTATGTATTATTTGTTCAAGATCACACAGCAAGTAAGTGAAGGAGTCAGACAGCAGTCTATCTCAAGAGTTTATGCTTTTAACCACTATTCCACCAACCTCCCTAATATACCTGACAAGATGAAGCACTTAGCATAATGGTTAGCGCTTAGCAAGTTATCAGTAATGGGGGTTATCATTGTTATTATTTAATATTTTTAATATCATGATGAATAATGTGATTACTATCTTTATTGCCATTATTATAGTAGCCATGTGGCCAGTGGCATAAATTTACCTCACCTGAGATTGGGGCTTATATCAGTGAATAAATTTGAGCCATTGGGCACAAAGGAAAGTATTCTATTTATACAGAGGAGGAATTATAAACTCAGATTGGTTTCTCCTGGGTGCATTGACACACCCTACTGGGATCCCTTAATCTTTACCTGAAGGAAGAATCTCCATATAAGGTTGAAATTGGAGGTTTGAGAGTAATCCAAACCTTTTTCTCAGTCATAAAGTATCCCCAAATTGACACTGATCTCAGAGCCTAGTCTTGAAACTTTTATTTATTGAAAAAAAAAGACTATTTTGCTTTATGATAACAAACTCTTTTATTTTAAGTAATCTCTGATTGTAAGACACTTAGAAATTAGTAAAATAATAAATATATAATTGGCACTGTCAGTAAGGCTAGGTGAATGGGAGTAGGTGTTTTGGGGAGTATGGGAGAATGGGAGTAGGTTATTCCTTTATAGTATGTTTATTCAAAATATGATAAATGCCAAATTTAACATATAATTTAGAGGCTTAAAAAATTATAAGGTAGTATAACATAAAAATTATGGGCATGGAGCCAGTGGGCTTGCTTTTGAGTCCCAGCTCCATGTTTACTAGCAATATTACCTTGGGCAACTTATTTAACCTCTTTGAGCCTAAGTTTCCTCAACTGTAAAATAAAAATAATAGTAGAAATTGCCATGTAGAGTGGTTTTAAGGATTAAAAGAGTTAACACAAAAAAGGCTTTGAGGACTGTCAAGATGTCCTGAGTACTAAGTAATCACTAGCTGCTATTATTAATACTACCATAGTAGTAGTAGAAGGAAGACTATTTCTCTTCTTCTGAGAATTTTATAAATTTAGAGACCTGTTTAATTATCTCAGTATTAAACTGCTGTATCTATTCTTAGAGAACTCATATGACAGTGTCACTTTTTTTATAAGAAAGATAATTTCTAGAACTAGTATTAAAATCTTAAATTTCCTTCTAAGGCTTGAATTTTTCCCCTCACCGACATAATGTGAAACCCGCAAACCTCAAAAGACTTGTTCATTTCCAACTACTACATGTCTGGATAGAAAAAGCTTCTTTCATTCTGCTTTAACTGCTCTTTATAGTAGCAGTGTTTGGGAAGTGTGAAGTGTTCTGATTATTTAACAAGAGAAATGAGCAGTGATAGAACTGTGTGGACAGATGGTGTGAGTCCCAGATTTTCTATCATGTTACTGTGACCTTAAAAGGCAGAGAAAAGAACAGGAGATGGCTGTGTAGTTTCTTTGGAAGATTCCCCCAGCCATATGCCATTTTTATTCTTTTCAGCACTATTTACTTGAGGGAAATGTAGTATTTTTAACACTACTATTCCATGGGGGGAAAAAAACCAAAACCTTTAAAGCTAGTCTAAGGATCTTTTTAATGGATTTTTCATGTTTACTTTTGAACAGGTTATATATTACATAATAAAATAGTCAAAGGATATAGAAAATATGTATGAAAAGTAGACCTTTCCTCATCCTCTGCCCCTTGTTTTCCTTTTTCTAGTTCTCCTTTCCAGAGATAACCATGTTTACTTGTTTTTTATGTATCTTTTCAGAGACAAACATGCTTGCATACATGTAGTGTTAACACTTATCTTTCTCCCCTTACACAAATAGTAGTATATTTTACACTGTTCTTTATTTTGTTTTCTTCACATATCTACATATCTCAGAAAATGTTCCAAATCAGTATATGTAGAAGTACTGCCTTTATTTCATTATATGGCAGTACCGTAATTTATTCAAACAATTCCCTGTTGATAAATATTTAGGTTGTTTCCAATATTTTACTGTGACTCTCAATTCTGCCTTGACTATCTTTGTCGAGAAATCTTTGTGCACACATGTAAAACTATCTGTAGGATAAAATGTTAGACCCAAATTTCGAGGTCAAGGGAACATAGGCATATTTCAGTTTAAGTGCCTTCCAAAGATTGTTCCCCAATTTATAATCCCAGCAACATGGTTTGAGAATATGTATTTATTTTTAAGATGTGCACTACCTATAACAAGATTTGCCACTGTGCCTTGCAATTAGTAACAAACTGAATATACCAGATACCAAATAGAATTAACATCACATTACAGTTACTATTAAAACTAGTGTAATATACCTCCTTACTATCTCTAAGTGTCTTTTTATCTTTATAATACTCTATGTTTTAATTCATCCATAGTCAATTCTGAGAAAAGTTTATAGAATGCTTACCATTTTTTAAAAGGCTGCTAAGGAACTCAGGAAGAAAAAACATTTTCCTCTTTCTAAACTACTCTGCATGTTTACAGAATAATGTCTTTGGTCCTAAGATATAATAATTATATTAATAGCAATAATAAAGATATAGCTACCAGGGTATCTGCTAGATAAGAGGCACTATATTAGGTAATTTATGTATATAAACTTAAGATAATCCTCATATTATCCCTGGAGGTATTCTTACCTCCAGTTAGATATGAGGAAACTAAAGCTCACAGAAGTGAAATAACTTACTCAAGGTCATTAACCATTAATGGCAGAGCCAAGATTTATCCCCAAATTTGTTTGATTCTTAAGCCTAAATGGCTTTCTTCTAAGAGTTAATAAGTGAGTACATGTAATTCATTTAGAACACTACCTGCCACATTATAAGTACTGTGTAACTTTTAGCTACTGCTGCTACTGTCATTGCTGTATTATTATTATTACTGTTATTATTACTACTGTGCTGCAGTGGCACAAAGCATAGCACTTTCAACACATTAGTAATTTGAATTAGTTATTCTCTGGGCAAGCATTTTCTTCCCAAGTCTCATGATACTCATTCCATTTTTAGTTCTCAGTCTTTCTCTCCTTTACCTGAAGCCATTCCTTTACCTAAAATCCAAATTCATTCTAAAATATTATCTGGATTTTTTATATCTACTTTTTTTCTCCAGAGTCCAAAGCACCAGTAATAAAAAGTGATGAATATAATAACTGTGCTTCCAAGGTGTGAAGTTTTTATTCTTCAACTTTACAGTTCCTACAGATGCTGCTCAGGTTTCTTCAGGTTGTTTCTTTCCTTCCCATCTGAATCAGCTGATGTGGTTAAAGAGACCAGTTTCATGAAAGACAATTTTTCTATGGATGGGGGTAGGGAGAATGGTTTTGGTATAATTCAAGCACATTACATTTATTGTGCACTTTATTTCTATTATTATTACATTGTCATTTGCCACTCACCAATAGGGTTTTGATATGAGTCCACAAGCAATTGATTTATTATGGTCTCTGTGCAGTCATACCTCTCTGTTAATGATAATCTGTATTTGCAGCTGCTCCTCAGCACTTATCATCACTGCCTCAACTCCACCTCATATCATCAGGCATTAGATTCTTATAAGGAGTATGCAACCTAGATCCTCCATGTGTGCATTTTACAGTAGGGTTCAAGCTCCTGTGAGAATCTAATGCCCCCGCTGATCTGACAGGAGGCATAGCTTAGGCAGTGACATGAGCTATGGGGAGCGGCTGTAAATACATATGAAATTTCGCTTGCTCATAACCACTTACCTCCTGCTGTGTGGCCTGGTTCCTAATAGGCCACAGACTGGTACTGGTCTAAGGCCTAGGGGTTAGGGACCACAGTGCTAGAGGGCTTAGGCACTGGAATAACAGGAGAAAAAGAAATTAAGAGCTAAAAGAAGAGACAAAATTGGTAATGAGAATAAAATGTTGTTTTGCAGGAAATTCTTGTGAAAAAGTGGTTCTGCTGCTCCAGCTCTAGAATTTAACAAAAAACTTATTTTTAAAAGGTCAGGTTCAGTTGTAGTTGATGATGTCTCTATCTCACTAAGCCAAGCTAACTAGTAATAATAAAAATAGCATTCTTCTAGGATGATGGAAGAACTTCCTTTTCACTTAGCAGTTATTTTCATAGGTTGTACTTAAGCTGATTGTAATTAACTGATGAAATTACTTTGTATCCAACCACTAACAGATAGTTTTATAGATTTTAAGGACATTTGTGAGGGAAAAAATGGTCTTACTCCAACTAATTCTTAATTCTAATGACTGTTTTATGTAAAAATAAAATGAAGTAAAAGTGATATGAAATAGAAAATAGGTGAAAGGATTTTTTATGATAATAACATTCCTTAAATGTATATTTTGATTTAAGGTTGCCTTAGTCCAAATTTAAATCTGTTTACATTTTGGATCCCATCCCAGGGCCTTAAAGTAAAAACTGCTAGGCTGGACTTAATCTGAGCTTAAAAGCCAAGGTAACATTGCAGACCCATGGGGTATTTTAGTCTTAGTCATTATTCACTGGTAGCCTAGACAGGTGCATGGCATGTGCTGTTCTGTTACTGTCCCCCACTCTTCCCCCACTTGCTCTCCACAATCCAATTTTACAATCAGTTTTCACATTTTATGGTTTGTTTATCTTTCCTTTTCTCCTAGGAAGCTGGGATTTTCTTTTGCTGAATGGATTGAAAAATAATTGGGGAAAAGAAAATCACAAAAGTTTAGGTTTAGAAATATTGAGGGGTTTCTGTTTAGGTACTAAAATTGAGTTAAATCCTCTTTGAGTTATTGTCACATCATTTTTTTAAAATGTTTTTGTTTTGTTCATAAATCCTTCATTGTTGAAAACATTGCTTTTATAAAAATTTGTAGTATTCTCTAATACCCTGTCTATCCTAGATCTATTATATTTCTCTTGTTTAGCTCTTTGATGAGACTGTAGAAGCTAACTAACATTTAAGAGAGAGCTGTTTCCTGGCCTATGTTACTAGATAGACCATGATTTCTGCCTCAGTTCAACTTTAGTGTGTCAACTTGATAGAATGAGACAGGTGGACATTCTGCTGACCAGCATCTGATTAGGGAGGGTGGAGGCTGGTGATGGATGGAAATGTCTGATGACAAAATAAGCAATTCCATGAATATGAGTGTGCAGAGTAAAATTGGGACCAGCAGATGGTGGGGCTAAGCTGTATCTTATTTCTTTCTCAGCTATGAGATTTGCTGTGGCTGCCTTTTCACAGAAGCCAGCTGGGATTGTCCATTAACTGGGTTTGGGTAGAAGGGACTTGTTGCTTTCTTCAGAATTTGTTCAGCCTTGCCTTCTCATTTGGTGGTAAAACATGATACCCAAAAGCAGAATATATGATGACTGACCTTTCTTTGGAGAACATCCCAGTTAAATCTCATTTCTACAGTATGATTCCATTTTGAAATGAGGCTTTTTCCCTGTCCTTTCTTTAATCCTCCAATATTTTAAACTCCTGTGATCTCTGCTGTTGCAAGTCAAATCTCATTACTGAAAATTCTTCTCATGTTGAGAAGAGAAGAAACATTTCTCAGAAAAAAACAAGGCAGAATATAGGGCTATAATATAAACTTAAAATAAATTGAACAGAGTTGCTAGTTTTAGCTTTCCTTTATAATATAGAGAATCTAGTTTACTTTATCCAAAGTACCTTTAAGAAACATGTTTTGGTTTAATTTCTGTTTCTGAAACTTACCTACTAATTGATGTAATTCTGCATTAGATATAGTTAAATTCATTGTAACTAACATTCCTTGGGCTGGTTTAAATATGTTTTTTTAGGATTTGAGATGAAAGGCAGAAACTACAGGTAAGATCATGTAAGGTATGGAACCAATGGAGAAGTCTGGAAATGCATCTTGGAGTCATGTTTACTATATATCCTTGGGAAATCCAGATTGTAAAAGAAAAGAAATATCATTTCCCTCCATCTTTTGGCAACTTTTTGCTTTGACACCTCTTCTTCCAATAGTTCCAACAGAAATCCAAGGCTAACTTTGATTTGCTTAACTCGGGTATGTTTCTATCCCTGAACCAATCACTATAACTTACTGGCCAGGCCTGCGTCTTTTTTACCCATCTCTAGAGCTTCAAGTTGGGGTCAGCCTCTCCTCAACCATATGGACTTGGAACAGGAAAGGAAAATTAAGTTGCTGTTGACATTCGAAGAGGAAAGGGATTATAGACAGTCAAACACAATAAAATGTCCACTCTATTCCCAAAGCTTTTTAGTGGGCGAGGGCTGTCATTCAGTCAAGAATGCACTGGCAGCTGGGTTCTTTAGCTAGACCTTCCACTGTTGAAACTTAACCCCTCTTCACATTGCTTCTGTTTTGCTGCAGATACCTGTTCCCCAAGTTTACACTGTGCTGGACTGAGTTTGTAGACATGAAGGTCCATGTGCCCTGTGAAACTATCGAATACATTGAAGCCAACTACGGGAAGACCTGGAAGATTCCTGTAAAGACGTGGGACTGGAAGCACTCTCCGCCCAATGTGCAGCCCAATGGAATCTGGCCTATTTCTGAGTGGGATGAGGTTATCCAGTTATACTGAGATACTAGGTTGAAATGGGAGAATTTCCCTTCTGGAAAAAAGGTAGATAACTGTTTAAAAAGACACGTCTATTTGTCAGACGTAAGCAGGAGCCAAAGGAAAAAAAGGACAAGCTTGAAAACACAAAGAGTCCTAACTCCACAGCCATCTGATTTAATTCTTTCATTCAGTATTTTTTGAGGAATTTTCATGTGCCAAGTACAATGCTAGATTACAGTGGAGAAACAGAGATGAATTAGACAGATGCCTGCCTCTTTTTCCCCTCATTTTGGTAAACACCTCAGTTTTCCTTTGAGGGAAACATCCCCACCCTTTAAAGAGCTCAGATAGAACATGATATGTTCTGTAAGGGTTTTAAAAATGTTAAGTAATGTTTGGACTAGAAGATGAGTTCACCAAGCAAAGCTAAGGAAGTTAAAAAGAGTAACCCATACCTGTTCTTTGCATTTAAGCTGGTTTATTAGTGCTAATTTTAAGAGTGTAGAGTCTGAGTTAATATTCAAGTGGTCAGAGTTTAAGTGGTATCAAGAATAGATGGTAGCAGATTCATTTTGCAAGCAATCTGATGTGGAATTGATTTAGAGGGCAAGTTATTATTCTATAAGGGAAGGTGAGAACTTATTTCTAGCCTTATCAAGATAAGTACATTTCCATACACTTACTATTTTCACATTTGAAGTGAGAAGAAAGCTTATGCTTGTGTGATGCTTAAATTTCCAGCCATTGTGAGAGAATTTTCACTGACCTCTGATGGTATTTTGTTGACAAATCATTCAAGTGAGACACATGGTTTTGAAAAAGTCGTGATTTCACAAAACCGAATTTTATTATTTTATTCTCAGTCACTCTGTTAGGTAAAAATATGAGCTATTCATGGACATTTTATATTTTCTGAATTTATAATTCTTATACTCTTAATATTAACACTAAAATGTTAATAGAGATACCTCTAATTTTTCTAAATGTACTCTTTATTGTAGTCATTCATCAATTACAGTTCTATGTCTTTAATTTATGGCCTATGTACAATTTAAATGGCATGTAAACCTACCTGTTCCTTCTCCAATAGTACATCAGGTCTCCAAAATGGAAGTTAAATGGTGAATTTGGCAACTATTCCCCACCTCAGATTATAGTGTTTGTAAGTTTGTATCCATCCATAGTTGTTCAATCTGTTGAATATTAATGAAGTAAAAACTCAGACTTCCCTACTTTATCAAGTACCACTCATTCTAGAACCCTCCAGTTTCTTTTTTTCTCCTCAAGATATATCTCTGAATGGGCTGGGATGGCTCTGTCGCCCCCTTGTTATCACTCCCTACTTGAATGATATATTCAAAGTGAAAGGTAAAGAGAAATGTAGGCACACTAAGTGCTGCCACCTTTTTCTTTGTCTGGGAAAGGAAGCTGAGTCTTATGTCCTATCTGTGCTATTTAGGACTACTTTCTGGACCAGCTTGGCAGATGCAGATTTTCCTCTAAAACCAGAGAATAATAAGAGTCTCAAAAATGGAAACCAGAATGTCTAAAGGAATGGGCTGACAGTTTCCTGGGATAAAAAGTTAGAGAAAGTAATCTAAAACTACCCCATTCCAAATTTTAAAAACACTAAAACTTTCTTTAATAAATGATAACCAACAGCCTTCCTCTCTTAGGATGCAGTCTCAATGCAAAAATCACTGAGTCTTTTCTTAAGTAATGTTAGCAGGCTTTCTAGGACCTTTATAGATTATCAGTAAACTTGTCCCTTTAATAAATGATAGCCAATAGTCTTCCTCTCTTAGGATGCATTCTCAATGAAAAATCATTGGGTCTTCTCTTAAATAATGTCAGCAGGAGTTCTAGGACCTTTATAGATTATCAGTAAACTTGTCCCAAAATAACAGGTCATCCCTAATCAGCTTTCTTTTTGCTAAAAAATCAGTCCATAGAATACATTCCAAAATTCTAAATAGCTTTCCCTAATTTCATTTTTCATGCTCAAAAACAATATAAAAGGGGCCGGGCGCGGTGGCTCGCGCCTGTAATCCTAGCTCTCTGGGAGGCCGAGGTGGGCGGATTGCTCAAGGTCAGGAGTTCGAAACCAGCCTGAGCAAGAGCGAGACCCCATCTCTACTATAAACAGAAAGAAATTAATTGGCCAACTAATATATATATAGAAAAAATTAGCCGGGCATGGTGGTGCATGCCTGTAGTCCCAGCTACTCGGGAGGCTGAGGCAGCAGAATCGCTTGAGCCCAGGAGTTTGAGGTTGCTGTGAGCTAGGCTGACGCCACGGCACTCACTCTAGCCTGAGTAACAAAGTGAGACTCTGTCTCAAAAAAAAAAAAAAAAACAATATAAAAGGTAATAATCCACCCCACTTGATGAGGACCATTTGCTTGTGTCAGCATCTAAAAGTGCATATACTCCATATTTCTGCCCATTTCAAATTGAGACTCCCACTGTTTGCCAGTAGATCCTCCCAACTCCTGTTCAGGTTGTTTTTCTTTTATCTGTCCCTGAAATACAAAATCTTGGAGTATCTGAAATATAAGATATCTTGGCCCTAGTGACAGAGGGATTCTACATCCTTCCCTACATAGACCACTGGCTGGTGAAATGCTTTTCTTATCTTTCTTCTGGTTTCACAGGCTTCAGCTCTCAAGTTTCACCCTAACTTGGGGGAGTGAAAACCTTTCCCCAGAATGTGAAGGCCAGGCTTGCTTCTGATACTAATTCATCCATACTTCATCTTGTGCTTTTTTAACACTTGTGCTCTGCTGAGACCTAAGGTTAGTGTCTCCACCATCAATACCTTATCAAATCACTTTTCTTTCCTCACCTGAGGATTCTAACAGTCAGTCTCCTAATTGGACCACTTGCAGGTCCAGTTTGCCTGGCTTACCTGGAGAAGACTTCTTATATTAACTTGTTGGTAGTTAGATACCCATAAATGTCTCCAGAGAGATCCTGAGAGGTTAGATCCCTCTCATTTGACAAGCAGGTAGCTACTCAGTCCTCTAAACAGGGAGCATTTGTCCTTCTCTCCTCTGCTACAGCTACTGACTTATAGCCCCTGAAATAAAACCACAGTCCCCCAAATTGAGCATCCCTAAGAACAGCTGGGCAGTGGGAGAGCAGGTTCCATTAACTGCCTAGCTACAAACCCTGAAATGTGACCATTAGGTGGCAAAATGTTTGCCAGAATTCCCCTAAAACAAATTAAAACTTGGGTGAAAATCATCCTGCTTTTGAATCTTAAAAGCTAGAAGAGGTCATAACCTCTGGAGTTCACCCTCTTATTTTATAAGAGTTATTATTTTATAAGAGTTAATCCTTATGACCCTTATTTTATGAGTTATTACTTTATAAGCATCTTATTTTATAAGAGTTAACCCTCGTATTTTATAATTAAATAAATAATCCACAAAAGGAGTGATCTGAGCAAGAAACAGCTGAGACTATCAACCAAGAGTGCCATGACTTCTAGTCCATTGTCTGTTTTGCAATATGGCAAAGCATCTTTAACTCTGCTTGATATGCTTGACAGAGAAGTTATCCAGTGCCTAAGTGAGACTAAGTTTTATGTTATATCTCCCATTCCCCACTTGATTTCTTTTTGTTCCATTTGAGAACCTGAGGTGACAAAGAGGTCAAGAAAAAGTGTTTCCTTCTTGTCCAGAATTCTTAGGTTGCCTTCATACTGTTATCTGAAAATTGCCTTATCTCTAAAAAATAAGACAGTTCATATCTGGAGATATCAACCTTTGATACCTGATTCTCCTAAGCTCGAGATGCATCTCCATTGCTACCTTACCTGTCTATTTCCCAAGGGAACATCAGTACCAGTCTGTTAAATGCCGGTTTCTGAAGAGATCCTCCCCCTAAAGTAACTTTCATGAAAGTCTTTCTGTCTGAAGCCCTTTTCTTCCTGAAGGTTCTTTACCTGTGGCCTATTTCACCACAGAGAACAATAGATGTAACTGAAGCACTTTGTAGTTTTAAGGATTTTTTTTTTATCTGCTTGACAGGAAAGGAGACTGGAGTATCTAGTTTCAAGGATTTAGACTGCTTTTAATTATTTAAATAGATACTTTCTTATAGATACAAGTAGTTAAGAATAGATTGTACTCATTCATTTTTAAATTTGTGACCCCAAACCATTGTGTCTATTCTTATACAGCTGTCAAGTGGCATATAGGGGGGTAGGTGTGGTGGCTCACACCTGTAATCCTAGCACTCTGGGAGGCTGAGGCAGGAGGATCGCTTGAGGTCAGAGGTTAAAGACCAGCCTGAGCAAGAGCAAGACCCTGACTCTACAAAAAATATAAAAATTAGCCAGGCATGGTGGCACGTGCCTGTAGTCCCAGCTACTCATGAGACTGAGGCAGGGGGATGGCTGGAGCCCAGGAGTTTGAGGCTGCAGTGAGCTATGATCACGCCATTGTACTCTAGCCAGGGTGACAGAGCGAGACTCTGTATATATTTTAAAAAAAGGCATATATGATAAGAAGGATGTTATACAGGCAGGGATTTATAAATTGGATATCAGAGCTAAATCTGGAAAACACACTTGGAACAAGTTCTTACACTTTAGTTTAAAATCTCACCAAATACCACAAGCCTATGGCTAGAGATTTTTCTAAGCCTTCCGCTACTTTCATATTCTGGAAAATGAACAATTCTTTTATTCTAAATGTTATAAAACCCTAGGGAAAATCTCCCTTCAAAGCCTATTTAAGGAAAGTGCCATATTCTCACCTTCTAACACATAATCATCAGTTGTAACAGCTGTAAGACCTGGAGAAATTCCAGTCACTAAACAGTCAAAGGGATTTCTCTGAAGAAGTGGACACTTCTCTTTCTTCCTGATCTTCCTCTATCATTAAGACCTGGGTGAGATCACCTCTAACATTTCACTTACATAGGCAACATGTTGGCATAAAAAGACCATAGCTTTTGAGTAAGATCTGAATATGAATTCTGGCTTCACCATGTGGGCTTTATGGTAGGGGGCCTCTTAGCCTCAATTTCCACATTAGTGAATTGGGGAAATGGTGCATACTTCTAAGGGTTTTAGGAAGATTAAATGAAATATAAAGTTCTTCTGGCTGAAGATTAAGTACTCAAGGAATGTACCGTTTCCTAGCTTCGTGTTTCTTCTCTAATTATTCTTCAAATGGGATCGTAGAAACTGTGGATCAGGACACACTGCCTTACTCACAAGGTTACATACTGAACATGCTTAAGAAAAATAAGTTTTGTTCTTTCAAGTCATTAAAAGTCAAATTGTACAGTTTGTGAACTCAGAGACATTACGGGTTGCCCCTTTCTCTAAATAGAACTTGTGCTGTCATTTTGTCCGTCAAGCTGTTATCTCCTGGGATCTCCTTATATCATCCCATATGCTACCTAGTTCCTTGATCCCAAGCAGTTCACTCGCTGTACTTCTCTAGACGTGGTGCCAGCTCTATCTTGGACTTCTTTTCCAATATTGTTGCTTTTCCTAGAGGAAACCCTCAGCTCCCTATTAGTGAAATTAGAATAAGCCATGATTTGAAGAGGAAAATAACTTGGAATACTTAGCTTCATTTAATTGTCCTATATTGATGATTATCTGTGTCCGTATTAACAAAAGAGAATTGAAAATACTCATTTCTACTTTCTTCCCCCAAATTTGTGTTTCTGTCTCAACTAGGCAAGAGTAAGGAGGGTGTGTTATGCCATTTTAAGCTGTTCCACATCAAAATGAAATCCTAATTATAGTTTATATGTCAAACAGACCAATTCTATGGTGATACCTTTTATACCAGTCCAGTGTTTAACATAGACAAGTATAAATTTTCTAATGATAAATATCTGCTTCTATACTCTCAGCACTACTTATTAGTCTGGAATGACCCTTCTGGCATCACTCCCAACCCAACCTAATACAGAGATTATATAGGGACCCATTAGCCAGCCAAGCTGCTATATACTTAGAAGCACCTCTCACAGTAGGGTTGAAAGAGAGTATGAGGATAGTTAAAAGTACTGTATTTTGTTGTACAAAATGAGATATTGTCTCATGGACCTTTAAAAAAAATTACAGGATTTACAGCCTTCTAATGATTCGTTCAAAGCATGGAGAATAATTCATGTGTTTGTTAGTATGTAGTCATATGTAGCTATTTGTGTATCCCTTCCACTTCATAACTATAAAATATGTATATGGATTTTCTAAACAAAGTGATATTTTAAACATAAGTAGATTTAATGTGTGCTTACCAGTTTACTATTTGGTTTTATCTTCAGGTACAGATAGTTTGTGGTACTACTGAAAATATCTTCACTGTTATTATTTTGATCAGAATTTGTAATATATAATCCAGTTTGAGATGTTGAATAAAATTTTTCTAATCTCTGGAGTTATTTTGTGTTTATTTTGGAAATTTGCAGTAGAAATAACAGCCTCTTATATTCATAAACAATCTGGTAAAATAGTGATCTTGCCATCAGTACACTATTTCTAAAATTCCTATCTTGGAACCCTATGGATCTGCACGCATCTACGTGGGAATCCAAAAGTTCTGTGATAAAACCTGCCAGCCAAAGACCACCAGGAAGACACCTGTAATCAAACAA